GGAGCTGCGGGGAAGCGAGTCCGCTCGGGTCACGTCTCCGGCTCCGCAGTGCCACGCGGGGGCGGGGAGCGGGAGGGAGCGAGGGGAGGGGTAACAAAAGCAGAGGGACGCGGGGAGCGAACCCGAGACGCAAAGCGAGAGCAAAAGGAAGGAATAAAGAGAGGAGGAAGCGCAAAGGGAAATAAAATGTGGAGGGAGGGAGGGACCCCCCGCCCCTTGGCCGCACCGCCCCACGGCACCGCCAACGGGCACCGCCCGCCGCGCTCCGCACAAAATGGCGTCCCGCGCGTGACGGCCCCTCAGCAGCCCGGTGCACAGAATCACGGAATCGGTTAGTTTGGAAAAGACCTCTGAGGTGCTCGAGTCCAACCCCTGACCGAGCATCAGCATGTCAACCAGACCGTGTCACTGAGTGCCACGTCCAGACGGGGACCCCAACACCGCCTTGTGCAGCCCATTCCAATGTGTAATCACAGTTTCTGTAAAGAAATTCCTCCTGATGTCCAGCTTGAACCTCCCCTGCTGCAGGCTGAGGCTACATCCTCTTGTCCTGTTGCTGGTTGCCTGGGAGAAGAGACTGACCCCCACCTGGCAGCTGTAGAGAGTGATAAGGTCACCCCTGAGCCTCTTCTTTCCAGGCTAAAAACCCCCAGCTCCCTCAGCTGCTCCTCATATGGCTTGTGTGCAAAAGCTTTCACCAGCTTCACTGCCCTTCTCTGGACCTGCTCCAGCACCACAATGCCCTGTCTCATTGCAATGTTCTCCTCAGTGGATCCCCAAAAGCAGTGCTGGCGTGTTGCTGGAGCCCCTTGTTCTCCGTGTTGCTGGCCCTCAGGCACCCAGCAAGGGTGACCCCCATGGAGGCCCTTCCATACTCACATCCCTTTGGCATGGATAGTTTTCCAGCTAATCTGAAATTGGGAGAGCGCTTCTCCCTTCCCCATTAAAATCTATTGGAAATCCCATTCCTTCAGGCCCTCCTCTCTGGACAAAATGCTGCTTTAAATGTTGAATGTGGTGAGAGAGGCAGTCAGCACCCCACAAACTGCCTGTCTCCACTTTGGGCATGACTTGGAGACACAAGAAGTTCCACCTCAGCATGAGGAAGAACTTCTTATTGAGGGAGGCAAAGCACTGGAACAGGCTACCTAGGATGGTCATGGAGTTTCTACCTCTGGAGACATTCCAAACCCACATGGACATGTTCCTGTGTCACCTGCTTGAGGTCAGAATGCCTTGGCAGGGGGGTTGGACCAGATGCTCTTGAGAGTCCAGTCCAGCCTTAACTATCCTGTGATTCTGAGAACTTTGCACCCTTTCAGGCAGGTGCAGCTGCTGTTCCCGAGTCCTTAGGGGCCCCATGGATGGCTGGCATGTGGCCTCACAGGACTCCTTGGTGACAGCCACTCACTGTACATCCCTGTTTTGGGAGGATATCAGCGGTGCAGGGGCTGCAATAGGAAAAGTTTGCCTTTAAAATGGTGTGCAGGTGTTACAAGTCTTGCTAGTCCTCATGAGGTGATTAATGGCTTTGTAGATGTACAATAAGCTAATTCTGCTGGCAGAAGTGGAAGAACCTGTGTTTCTCTTTTATTTTTTTCCTCTTTTTGGCTTTTATGCTAAATTTCAGTCCTTTTATGTTAATGGGATATTTATTTCTGTGATCCAAGGTCTGGATCAGCACTGCAGCAGTTTTATGAATGCCAGTCTGCAATGGTCTAAGGTTTCTAGTCCTGGCACTTTGCAAAGAAGCTTTTCTTTCTTCCATAGGGAAAACAAAGCCATTGGCCATGGCACAGAACCTTTGTTTTCCCTTTGCTACTATCATTGATTAAACCTTTCACTGCTGTAAAGTGGGGTGTTTAACTCATTCCCAAGCAGCTGCAAAAGGCACTATTGAGGCAGTAATGGGAGGATGGGGCAAGAGCTTGAGGCAACAATTTGGAGAATATCTGTGGATTAAGGATGCAGAACTAAACACTGAAAAACCTTCTGGGAAGGTTGAGGAAGCTTAGGACACCCATCCTCAGGGACATGACCCCAGGATATCAATAGCACCTCTCTCAGAAAACTTAAATTACTACTAATGTGAAGAAATTTTGCCTCTGATATATTTTTGCTAATCCTATGTCTCTCTGCAAGATTTTGTTGTTTCTTTTGCTCTCTCATCATCATCCCATGAAATTTTTCCCCAGTGGCAAAGCAGGTCCATTGCCCTTTTCTTTTTCCAGACACTGTTTTTTGTTACCTTGACTGCACCAGTACCAATATCAGTGGGGCACTGGGATGAGCCAGATCAGCCAACTAATTTTAGTTACAAAATAAACTGAAAGGTTAAAGCCTCAGATCCACTCCACTTGCATAATCCTGCAACAGTTGTGCTGAGACAACCGAGGAGGACAAAGCTGGCCATGGATGAGAGTAACAGTGCATCTTCAGGCACAAGCCCCAAGTCTGAGCCTGCAGGTTTAGCTGAGTATACCAGTCTTTGTGTCAGTTCTTCTGCTTACTCTGAATCCATTTAAAACTATTTAAAATAGTTTTACAGTTTTACAGTTCTAATTCTCACTGTTAATTGAGTCCTATGGGCTCATTGGGCATCGGTGGAATTCATCCTACAGTTTACAGACAAATGAGATTGGATGTCTGGGAAGCAACAAAGCTCCTTTTATAAGCCAAGAAGATGTGACCTTGTTATCCTTAAAATGAAGCAACAATGAATAGTTCTGGCAACTGCAGAGGGAATGGAAACAACCCCCAACTGCACAGCTTGGCATGCACTGTGCAGCAATTAAAATAAAAGTGGTGGCCAGCACCCTCATTGTTCTCTTGGCAGCCTTCTGCAATGTCCATGTGAATTGGCAGGGCCTCTGTGGGGCTGTGGCAATTCAAAGAGCTCTCCCTTTGCTGTCCTCCTCAGAGGGAGCTGAAGGTCTCGATGTCACATCTGTCACTAAGATCTGACACAAATCCTGTCTGTGCCAGCACATTGCACCAAACTTTGGTGTCTGTGCTCAGAAGCAGGTGGCATCCTGCTGGTGATGTGCTGCTCCTTCTATTGCCCCTCAACAGGACAATTGTCCTGAGTTCCTTTGACCCGAGTCCTTCCCATTGCTCTTGAGCAGTCACTTGTGGCAATAGACCTGTGAAAGTCCTGGTTGTGAGGGTCTTCCAGTCACACCAGACTGAAGAAAGGTGGGCAAAGCAGACATGGACCTGCAGCAACCAAAAGAGGTAGAAGCAATTGAAATAGGTTTAAAACCTAAGTGAATGTAAGAGGTGTTGTTGCCCAACTGTTGAATTTCAGATTTTGAAAACCGTTAAATTTCAGATTTCAAAACCTGCTCAATTTCAGATCATCCTAGAGCCGAGGTTGTAGTTAATTTCATTCACTAATATTAGACATCAGGGTTTAAGCAATATTTTGGGAATGAGACTCCTGTCTTTCCATGACTAATGTATAACCTGCCAACTACAGTGCCAGAAAAGAACATTATCTCTAATTAATTTGATCACGGCTTCAAGCTATTTAAATGTAATCGTTGCAAGACCTGGTTATGAATAGCAATTAGAGATCCCCTTGCTCGCCTTTTACTGTATTTCAGTTCATCTGTCAAGCTGTATGTGAATCCTTACAGGTTATTTATGACTGGATAAACCTGAGGAATTAAAATCAGGGGCTCACTGGCATACAGGTGATAAATATGACATACTGAAGCCATAAAGTATACTTTTGTAGAAAATGTCACCCTAGTGCAGAACCTTACCTTCACTGGGTATTCTCAGAAGCACTTCAGATGTGCTTGAACAGCAATGGGTAACCCAGACCAGTGGGAGAAACTTTGTTCTTCCAGAGAATTGCTGTGTTAGAAAAACGGGCTGGAAATGGCACAAGAAAGCCTTGCATCAGGCAAAAAAAGTCAGCCATGCAGTAGGGTTAAACCTGTGCTTTAGTTTAGGACTCTGTATGACATCTCTCTTTGGTTATGTGCATGTAAAAGGCCACCCTTGTCTGCACCTGCCCCTTTGTAATAACCAGAGCGAACAACACTGTTTTTCACTTTCTGCAGACACAGTTCTAGTATATACTACTATTATTTTCAGGTACAGCACAGCAATATTTTGAGTTTATACCTTAGGAGCTTTTACAAAGCCAAAATTTAATTTAATTAGGGATTGCTCCAGTAGGCAGCTCTCCCATACCTGACCCTGCAGCCTGCCTTACCAGAAAATGTCAGACTTGCATGCTGACCTGTCCTCTGCAACAGCCTGGAAACCCAATTACTGCTTGAAGCACATGGTGTTTAAAGAGAAGTTTAAGTTGCCTAACAAAGCAACTGTGCATGAAACATGCAAATGGAATGCAGCTGCACTAATTTCCATCCTGCATGCCAGCAGTACAATTGCTCTATACACAAATTCTGCTCTACTCCAGCGCCAGAAGCTGGCAGTTTCTGGCCTAATGTTGGCGTTCTGAAAATAATGTCAGAGTGCTGGTTCCCTGAGAGATATGCAAAAAATATTTCCAACCTTGATTCTTTTTATTCAATATTAATCTTCTCTGTTCTTGCTATATGACTCTACCTAAAATATCCAGCTCCATTTGGAATCTGCACATCCCAAACCTCTGTGCAGAAAGCTTCCCATTAGCTTTCTATCAGGGAAGAAGAATAGCAAAAGTGCCAGAAGAAATTTTCCCTCTTCCACCAGCAGAATAGTTTTGAAGGTGGCTGTAACCATGCCAAGCCTGATTTGTATTTTTTTCATCCAAGCTCTGGTGCAAAACCTCCACGGTGTGCTAAGGAAGGGCTTGTGGAGAGTGGCTGAAGTCCTGAGCTGTAGCCTATCCTTGAGCTGCCCAACTACTAACAAGTTGTCCCAATATGCACGTGCTACCTGGGAGACTGGGCTAACTGGAAATTGTGCTGATGATAAACACCAGGATATCCAGCCCAGCTCCAGAGATACTGGGTTATGTGTAGTTCGGCTGAGCTTGCATACAGGCTCAGATTTCAAGATACACATTCATTTGAAATGTGGGGGGTTTATTCCCTGCTCAATAATGATTGCAAACAAGATGATAATTTTGGCATTAACCACTAGATGGTCCTCTTTCTCAAATTAAAAAAAAAAGTATCTCCAAAATAAAGCTAGTTCTGGCTTTTCTCTGAACCTGAATGTTAGTAGAGAACAGTTTCTTTGTAAAGGTAAATGTTATTAGATATTATTCATCTAGCTGAGTAAATTGACATGGTTTTCTGAATAGGTTCAAATGCAACTTTTCATAAGCTCTCCAAACCCATTTAGTGCAACAGGACTTCCACCCCACTACAGAAGGCTGGACAGATTTGTAAGTCAGGCAGTAGTTCAAGGTATTTGCAAACTTTTCCCAGACTGGTATGTAAAACAATAAGAGTGGTGGGCTGGGTTTTCCATCCAGCTGCATCAAATGTCTTTCTTTTGTTTTTCACCTTCTGTTTGTAGAGAGCTCTGACCAGCAAAAGAATTACAGAAAAAAATAAGTTTTGGATTAGTTTTTGAGAAAACTAAATGTGAAGATTTGTCATCAAAACTGTAGTTTACTGTTGGCCTCTGGTCTGGTACTGTGTTGTCAAAGAATATTTCTCTGCATCAGGCTTGCTGGACCTCGTTCCCTTGGGTCACTCCAGCCTCCAGGCAATACTTTCCTATCATCTCCATTCATCCCCCTCAGCATTTCCTGCTCAGAAGCCTGACCTCTCCTTACCTTGGGAAGTTGCTTTCCTTCTCACTGCCCTTCACACCTGTATATCTACTACTGCCTTTTGATTTAGTTGCATCCTGGTGCATCCCTGGTCAGCCTTCCCACTGAGACACTCCAGCTAGCAGCTGTCTCTGTTCCTGCTCGTTACTTATGCAGGAATTTTATGTGCAGGAGTCTTTAATTGTGTGAGGCAGGACTCGAATTTTTCTCAAGGATCTTCTACAAAGAAGACAGCATATGCCCAGCCTCTCCCTCAGAAACAAGAAAAGAAGGGAAGTTCTAACACACAAACCTCTGCATCTTCACTACTGACCAAGCTGTCCTCTAGATATCTTTCCAGTTTGGTCTTTCACAACCCTGGTTCCTCTGAGAGCTCTATCCTAGCTCCTCCCAAGTCTGAGTGGCTTTCACATTGCTGTGCTGCATGAGCTGACATTGCTTTTCTCAGCCAAAGCATAAGCCCTGCTATAGATGAGGTAACAAAATAAAATAAAATCACAACTGCCTGAAAAGACCTGAGAAGCCAGAATGGTTTCTGTGAAAGCTTGTGGGTACTGTATATGGTACTGTGGTGATTCAGTTGTGGTCTATTGGATAGAAATGATGATGCCCAGCGAATGAGAATGGAGTAAAATTTACTTTGCTAAGAGAAATGCCTGCTGAGGCTCATTTAAACAGACTGTCACATAATTTATTACTCTTCACTGCTGAGAACATTTTACACCAGCCTTTCATGAAGTCAGAATGATTGAAAGCGAAAATAAAAATACCTGAATGAAAGAGAGAATGAAAGCTCTTGAAACTGGCAAGTAGTGTGTCCAGAATGGATGCACAGCTGTGATCCTTCTTGTAGCAGAGAAAGAGCTTTGAAGTCCTTGGCACACAATTTTGTGGATGCTCAGAATTTATATGGGTTCAGGAAGCAACAGTGGAAGAGAAGAAACCCGTCAGGGGCTACCTACCACAAAGAAACATTTGGTTTGGGAAGTCTCTGGATCACGTGGCTTGAGGGTCTATGAGAAGAGTATAGTGGGGAATGTGAAAATATGCTACCCTGTTTTTAGACATTTCCATAAATGTCCTTTGTTGTCCACTGTCAAAATCAAGATACGGCACTAGATCAACTTTGGGCCAGAATGAAGACAAATGATCATATTAGAGCATTTGAAATGCTGGCTCTCCTAATAATGATTTTTTTTGTGAGTGGCTGGGGTTTCTTTTTATTTTATTTTTGTATGGCATATTATTTTGCAAGCAGCCTTTACCAATAAGGAAGCATTCTTAACATGAAGACATTGCATAATTTTGTTTCACGTGGTAACTTCCATGTAGCTGACAATCGGTGAAAATGATCTGTGCTATGGAAAGGCTCACGCTGGAGTGTCAGCGGGACTAGAAAAAGTAAATGGGATGAAAAAATCTTTTGCTTCTATTTTAAGGTGACAGGATCACTAACAAAACAACAAAGCAAGAAAGGGTCCTGTATATCCTGGAGAAAAGAAACCTTTACTCCAGCAATTGCCCACTAGAGATCATGAAAGGATACTCGCATTTTCTGATCAAAATGAATGTGAAAAACAGTAAGGGAAAAGATCTACAATGAGAAGCCATGAAGACTTTTACTTACTAAGAAGATACCCTCTGCACACATGCACACAAAATTAGCATGGCAGAAGCACAGCCACTGCCTGGTTCTTGGATGCTGATTGATTTTTAGGTAGGGAGTGTTTCCAAGGTTCAAAGGGAACACGCTAAAAGGAGGTTTCTGAGAAAAGCATGTATATCTATTATTGATTGTGATAGCTGTAGGAAGACCTTTTGTGCTACCATGGACTTGAAGTGCTCTTCATATTTTGAAGTTGTGATTCTGAACAGTCTGAGTAAACTCTTGAAAACTTGGATGAGGAGGACACTTTTAGCTGCTTTTGGGCAGAAATTGGAGAACGGAGAGGTATTTCTCAGGCTTCTTTACAATTTTCATTTATACATGTACCCATAAAGCGAACTATTATACAGAAATGAAAAATCCCTGCAATTAGTGACCATACTGTCCCAGCAGTACTTGATGCTTGGATGGTGAGTAAGGGCAGGGCCAGGCAACATTTCACCATGCTTCCTCATAGAAGTACCTTAAAAATTGCCCATAGCAAATAAAATAATTTAATTTCTTTTGAGAGGTGCCTACAGTGAAATAGCATTATTTGTACTTTGAGGTTTTCCCAGCTTGAAGTGCCTTTATAGAAAAACCGAACATACTTGCTATTGAACTTCACTTTCATCCTAGTAGGATTGCAGCATTTCCTATGCAGTCTCAGTTTACAGATGGGGTCAGGCCTCAGAGCCCCCTTTCAAAGCACAGCTTTAAAATTATTCCTTTGGGTACCTCACCAGGAGTGGAGCATGAGCGTGGGTCTGTGAAGAGAGGGCCTGTTCCTCCCGGTCAGAGCAGTAACACTTCACATCTCCGCCTCTCTGCAGCATGGTGCCCAAGGAGTGAAGCACTTGCCATTTCAGCTGCTCTCCCCCACAAACCTCCAGAGTAAACAAGGTCTTAGGTTCCAGAGCAGCAAGATCCCCTAGCAGCAAGGTGACACATTAGTCAAGAGACAGAGTTAAAAATAGCCACTCAGAAGAGACACCTATTGTGGAAATACAATATTATTTGAGATGTTGGCCTCATGCACATGAAATTTTCTCTGCCACAAAACTGGTAAGGGCCCTCTTAAGCACTGAATCACTACTTACCAGCTATTTGTGTGCTGTGTTGCAGTGTGACTTAAAACTTACGAACGGGTGGGTTGATCTCAGCTGTGGGCTGGGGCTGCATGAAACAAAAGCTGCCATCAAGATCCTAGGACAACAGCAAGGGGAGCAAGGGCTGGGAAAGGAGTGTTTGGACTGGCTGTTCCAGCTTGCTGGCTCTGATAGCTGCCCACTGTCCAGCTGTTCTTTCTCCCCACAACTCGTCCTCAGCTATGAGAGCTGCCCTCTGCAGACATGCTCTTCAGATAGAGCATCGGCTCAGCAGCACAGAGAGCTTGGCTCTCCTTTGCAGAAGGTGTAGCTGCTCCCGTCTGTTTGTGCCCTCCCCCACCCATGGGGACATGGCAGCAGCCCCCTTCCCTCTTCCTGGCGGGCCTGGGGGCCTCAGTCATGTGTCCTGCCATGCCCCCCTAAAATCCCCTGGCGCCGCCCTCAACTCCTGCTCCCTGCCCTGATCAATGGCTTTCTAATAGAGCCTCCGTTCTCCTACCCCTCCTTTTGTAAATTTAAATCCTGCTCACCAGTACTGCTGACGTCCTGCAGGCCCACCTCTTGACTCCCCCTCCCTGCTTCAAGTCCACTTCCCTCCAGTATAAAAGGCACATGCCCCCATCAGCTGCCCTGCTTCTGCTTGGAGCAGCAACTACCAGAGAAGCAGCTTTGGTGCACACAGGTGAGTGCCTTCCCCTGTCTGCTTCAGCGCTTGTCCAGGCTCGCTCTTGCTGAATTTCCTTTTTTTCTTTTTAGGTTTTAGCTTACCACGGTCAGCATACACACCTGTGCCCTGTGCTCAGTAAGTTTTGGCCAGTTTTTGTTAGCGAAGCAGCCCGTGCCGAGGCAGGGAGGCGGTCCCCGCGGGCAGCGCTGTGCCCTGCAGGGAGAGCCGGGCAGGACGCGGCAGCGCAGCCCTGAGACCAGCCTGGGTCCAGCTCACCAGGGGTCTGAGCCCTCGGGGGTGCTTCCAGCGCTGCTTTAGAACAGGGTGTACACAGCCGCTGATCTCAAGAAAGATGCTGGTTTAGACTGTAAAGAGTTAATAGCACCTTGTCTTCCGAGGACTACCGTGGTAGGGGTACATCTGATGGGTCTGCAGTAGAGCTTGAGTTTGGTACGATAAGAGCCCCTGTGTGCCCAGAGGGAGAGCCAGGCTGGTCTCCGACTCCTTGTGAAACAGACCCGTGGCAAGCTGTGATACTGCTGCTACACTGTAACTTTGTTTGTGGCTTTAATTTTCCTCTCTCATGCCAGTGAAAGTTGCCAGACCTCTGTCGCAGATGTTGCTCAGCCAAAATTTAAAAGCTCTGCTTGGACACCAAGCAGAAGTGGCAAATTTATCAAATGACTGTGGCACTGAATTTTGCTGAGCTCCAGGAAAAAAATTTTTCCTGAAACTTTTAATTGTGTCAAGTTTTGTTGCAACTAGTCAGTTTAAATTTTTTTGTGATTATTTAGTAGTTTAAAATGTTAGTACACAGCTTGATTGTGTGAGGTCTTGTTATTTTTCAATTTTTCTTTTGGAAGAAAGCTGCAGGTCTGGACCTGAAGAGATCACAGACCTGCTCAGGGCCAAGTCTGTGGCAGTACCTCTGTCTCTGTTTCTTCTCATAGAAACAGTGGTGCGATAATTAGGTATGGGAAAAATTAGGGAGGATTAGAGACGCTGAGCACCCTGATTATTTAGGGTGGTATGTTACTTACTGAGGAGCAGTGGGAATGATGTGCTTCACAGAAACCCTAGCCAGGATAAGGGTATGAACAAAAAGTTCAATACGTATCAGTGCTGTAGGAATTGGCTGCAGTGGCACAGGACCAGCTGGTGGGGACTGAAAAACAGAAGTTCTTAGGAAGTTCTTAGGAAAAGTGTGTGCTAAAAGCTTTTCCCTTTATTTTTGTCTTGAGTCCAAGGCAAGCTCTTCTTTCTGTAACTTAGTGCCCAATAAAAAAAAACAAAACAAGACACAAAACCAGGGAGCAAGTAACCTGGAAAACCTGTCAGCGGCCCTGTAAACACATCACAGAGATGCCTCAAAACACGTTTTGTCTCACTGAACCTAAAGTTTTAGTAAAAATGGAGCAACAGGAGAGGTGCCCCAGCTGAAACTGAAGGCAGAATTGACCCTATGTCAGTGAATTCTAGATGATGAGATAATTTAGTCTTGATTGTCATGAGATATTCAAGTTAGAAAAAGCTAATTTACAGTTCTGAAATCATGACTTAAAATCACTTTCCTCTAAACTGCCTGGTAAGAAACTATCAATGTGGGAAAAAGCCCTTGAAAAACCTTCACTGAGTACTAGGGGTGAAGAAGCTTTTGACTGCATTTTAGTGAAAGACACAGCCAACTTCTTCATGTGTTTTTGCTGTGTTGCCTGTTTGGTGTGTTTGGGAGTATCTTGCATCAAAGATTTTCATTCCTGCTCTGCCTATACTGAAAGCAGGCTAAGATTTTGGCAGCAACAGGGGAAAAATTCCACCTATATACAAAGAGAAGCCGCTGTATAGGCACAGCTGAGAGGTTTTTCCTACAGCCTCTGTGCCTGTATATCTATATCACTTACATGATGCTTAAGCAAATAGGCTCCTGCCCTATAGGCAGAGGTTCCAGGATGTCAAATGTAGAGGCAGACCTTTCATGTCCTTGCATGGACAAGAGACTGTCCAGCTGGGAGAGCTGCCGTGAGGAAGCTTGTACAGAATTGTGAAATAGAGACAGTGATAACCAGAACCTGGCTCCCTCCCCGTCCTGGATGCAATTTTCCCAGCTCAGCACCTTCTGTTCTCCCCAGCCCATCCTTTGGAAGCTGGGAGGGATTTCTCTTTCTGTTGCATCTGGGTGCACTTACAGGACTGGGACATCTACCAGTGGAAACCATAACTAGAAAATGTAATTTTGCATGCTAGCAAAAAAAAGCATTGCCATTCATACTGAAATGCATTTAGTAGTAAAAAGAGTGTGTAAAACACAAGTGTTAGACACACTTCACAAGCAAGGAAAAGATGCTGGTGGTAGTGGCTAAAATACACTTTGGTGGCCAATGCCCATGGTCATAGAGAGCCATACAGAGCCAGAAGTGAGCTCAGGGTCAGGACTCGAGTGTCCTGTGAAAGCTTTCCCTGCTGGAGAGAAAAACTCTCTAGTTTTTACCTCAATAGATGGCCCACTTCATAGCCTTTGCCTTTGAACAAAAATGCCCAGGACATCCCAAGCATGAGTGTTCCGCAGAACTTAAGAGTCGTGAAATGGCTCTAATGGATGGGAACATACTGTTAAAATTGACACGTTCCTTCATCTTGAGAGTTTTAACTCATATGTGTTCCCCGTGTTCATTCTTCTCCTTACAGCCTTCCCACCACTGCTCCATCATGTGGCATCCAATCTCCTGGACACCACGTGCCCAGTGGTCACCAAACCACTTAAAGCTAGTCACTGTCTATGTCCTGATGCTCTTGGTGTCACTCAGCTTTGCTTCGGGACAGAGCAGGCCATTTAAACATCAGATAGACAACAGAAGTAAGTATGAGTCTCACCTGACACAGTGACCCCACAGTCTCTGCTGCACTGAGGGATCAGGGCTGGGCTGTCAGGCAAAGTTCAACAGCAAAGCACGCAGGTGTTTCTGTGGTGTCACCTTGGTGTGAGGCCCAGGGCTTCCATTTGCATTTGTTAGTGCATATACTTCTATATAATAAAAAGAAAGTAATGGCCTAGAAGCTTAAGTTCACTTTATAGACATCTTCAGTTCTGTATGGTACTGTGAGTTCTCTGAAAGTCCAAATACAAGTGGTTGAAGTATCTCCATTCAGAGATGCTGGGAAGAACTGAGATTATCCAGGTCAGTGATGATACTGTGTATCTGAAGTTTAAACTAGCACACAATCCAAAAGATCTTTGAGAAAATCACCAAGAAATATCATCTTCCCCCATGGAGCATAGGCTGATAATGGTAAAGAGAGGGGTTGTGGAGAGTAAGATGTGTGGACTCAGTGCCACACCTCTCCCCATTAAAGAGGACAGAGATGTTTGGAACCTCAAGTTTTAGGTACACAGGTGAAAGTTTATTTGGTTTTGTGTAGTAGGAAGGCTGTTAAACATTGTGCTGAAAGACTTAAAAGATGTATTTATGGAGAAATTTAAAGGAAGGAACCCCTTCTGCAATCCAGTGGATTTGTTAGCCTGGTACCTACTGCAGAAAATTTGGATGGACCCTTTGGCTCATGTTAGAAATGCAGGTTGCAGCCCAGATGGACGAAAATTAATTTTGCAACTGAATTCTCTTCCTTTGGGCTCTACATATGGAAAGTAACCCTCAAAGGCACCAGTAAGCTGTGTGTCTGGCTGTGGCCTTCCCCTTCTTTTTTTTTTTTTTCTGGGTTCCAAGTAAGCTGTCTTACATTCTCAAGATATTCAGGAAACACTGCCTCCAAGTGCAGTGGTCCATCTTCACTGAATGTTTTGAATTCCAGGTCCTGAGATTGACCCTTTTTGGTACATAGGCCGTGGTGTTCGCCCCATCGGTCGCTTTGGGAAGAGACAGCTGAGAAGCAGCCGTGGCAGCCTGAGGCCTGTGAACAAACACCTGGATTTCATCTTGAATACTTTGTGGGAGCAAAAATCATTGGACACAGAGGACAGTGACTGGTGATCTCTATTGCCCAGGGTGGCAACCCAACCTCTGTTCTTTGAATTGTGCCCTCCCCTGCAACTCAGACCTACAGTTCTGCTTTTGCCTAGCAATCTCACGCTGCTCTTCTTTCTGCTCCTTGTGCAAGTACCTTCAAAAAGAAACATGTTCAGGGTGCCAGTAAAAGACAATGCATGGACACCAGCACTGAGTGGCACCACTGGTTATAAAAATGTTTCTTCATTGTGCATCCCCATCAATCTCCTGATCCTGTTCACTGCTAGGATCACTGTTAAGTTTATCCAAAGCCCACACAGCTTTTGGGCTGGAATTGAAACTCTGCAGTGTTAAATGTATCATAAAACCTTCATGTCCGATTTCAAAGTCAATGGCTGTTGATATGTAAAAATAAAAAGCAATGGTTGGAAGAAAGAAAAAAGGCTCTTACCAATTTTTAATGTACCTGCATTAATGGCATGAAAGGCTGGTTCTTTGTGTGTAGCTTTTATAAAGATTGCTAACATCCACTCTTAAGAATGTCTCCCTGAAGTACCCACTGGACCTTCATAATTCTTCTTACACAGATGGAGAGATATATTAATGAACAAAGAGGCACTCCTATTGAAGATAAGTATTTTCTCCCTGCTGAAGGAAAAAAAAAATGGCTAATTGAACTCTTTGGAGTAGTTTTGTGCCTACTGCATATAACCATGCACCATAATCCAAAAGGAGCAAGGGCCTGAATGAGCTGATTCCCTTTAAAACAATGTCATTATTTCCAAGTACATTGTCTGAGCAAGTTAGAGTCACTCTTTGAGGATCACAAGCCATGTACTATCTACTCCATTAGTCCAAATCAATAAGCCTGGAGATGCAGCTCAATACCCCTATTTACTCATGTTAATATAACTTTGTTACATTACTTCTATAAAAAGTGTTACTTACAATGTGTTTCATCTTGATTAATAACTATTAGCAGGAATAATACAGTTTAATCTATGGCTTATATCCAAAAAAGATAGTTTACAATTTAGGTAATAACTGATGGTTAAATCCAGGCCATGAATGGACTTCCACTTCTAGTTGTGCTTTGTGAGAATTATTACTAAAATTGAATAATAATGGTTGAATTAACCATTGCAGACATTTTAACCCTTCTTTCTCTTTTTGCAAATGGCCTGTCAGCAAGGGATGGGTATTTATTATAATAAGGTAATAATAAATGACTTCCATTTATAATGAAACAAAGCTGCTGACCCAAAGTGTTACTTAAAGCACATTAATTTTACTGAATGCTTTCATGGTGGAGAAGATATGCTGATAAATATTTTGATCTGCATTCATTGCAAGGAACTTTGTAAGTGCAAAACCAAGATTATTGGCAGGGTTCTTGCTCAGTTTTTGTAGCAATCTCAGAGACAGATCAAAAAATTCCACCTGAGAAGCTATGCTTGAGTATTTCAGCCAACAGACTTGATGGTTTGGAGAAGACTCACCAGCAAATGTTCCTAACAGGATTCCTCCCACCCCAGCCATAGAGTAGGAGGAGGAGGAGGAGGAGGAGGAGGAGGAAGTGTGAACCGAGTGTGTGCCTTTGCTCTCAGCAAACCCCGGCATCCCTGTGGAGACGCCCATGTCCCGGGTGTGACGGTGTGGCTGTGGATTCTGCATGCTTCCAGGCCAAAGTGCACATAAATCCAAACAACAGAGAAGAACTTTTTGGTTTTCTTTATGAATCAAGTCATTGAAAAGGCATTCTTTTCATAAATCGCTTTTACTCTTTTATAATTTCTCTTGACAATAATTCTTGGTGAGTATGCAGATAACAACAACAAGGCAAGCTTAATATTCACTCAGACTTAATCAAATAGGTCATATAGTCTTCATTTTACCCATTAAAATATTTTCATTTATAAAAATTAATCTAAATATAAATATTAACACTAAAGATTGAAATCACTTGATGACAAAATAATTCTTTGTGTGCTATAACATATGCTTTTATGATTTTTTTAAAACAGTAAATTATATCTTCGCACGTATTTGGCACGATAAACATTTGTAAAAATTCAAATGCCTTAGAGCATGTGGGATTTTTTTTAAAGGTTGTTTTTTTGTTTTTTGTTTTTTTTTTTTGCAATGCCTACACAGTACACATTTGTCTGTCAAAGAAGACTGAATATTTTAACATTGTAACACGGTAATAGTTGCTTTTCATGCCTCTTAAGGAAAACAACCTACTCCAAACTTTGTTGGCTTGTTTAAATCACACTAACAGAACAAAAGCCAAAGAGTTATTCTATTAAAATTAGTCATTTCTGTATTGATATTACATACACAATATTAATTATTATTTATTAGACGAATATGCAGACCAACCACCATTAATGACATTTCATAACACGCATACCTGCATAAACCAGAACCTGGGAATGTATTGTATACATACACAAGAACAGTGAATGGAGGATGAGATTGAATAACAAAAAAATTACTAGGCATCCTACTCTGTTTAATCTCCTTTACTGGATTGCATATATAAATAAAATCTATTTGTTTTATATATATATTTATATATTAAACAGAGTGGGCCAAATTCTTCTCTCACATCTGTGCAAACCAATTTCAGAGAACTAGTATTGTGTGAGAGTAAAAGAAGGCCTAATTTTACCCAGAACAAACACATTGGGTCAGATCTTGGGCAGATGGAAATTCCCTGAAGGGATGGAATGACACTTACGTATTTTAAGTGGGAAGGTGGATGTATTTATTCCAAGGTTCCTCACATGCAGCTGGACATCAGAGTACTGACAAGCTAGATGTCAAATGTGGATGGCAGATTTGCAACTGGCACTGTTTTTCCAATCAACCCATCCAGCCATTCCTTGTCTTCCCCACTCACTCCCCTATACCCAACCTAGTCAGGAAATTTTCCCAGTTTTGCTTCTATTTTCCCAACTACAGACATTGCACAGCTTGGTGTCCCAGGGAACTGCTTCCCTGCTGCATGGCAGGTAACAGGTGGCACTCTGCTAGTGGGTGTTCACTGGGGGCCCAGAGAACAAAAGAGCTCTCCTCCTTCCTGGTACCCACAGCTCTTGGGAGAGCTCACCACTCCTTAATGCTGAGGGAAACTTGCCAGCTCATGCCTTCCCTCTTAGCACGTTTCACATCAACTCTATCTGCACTTGGGTACCTGCTCTGCAACTGGTGTGGAAGGTAAGGGATTCACTGGCTCATCACCTCCTCCGACTACCTTCTTTGTATTCTTCAGAGCAAAAAAATAATCACAAATTGGCAATGTTCTCCTGCAAAAGGGCAAGAAGGATTGTAAGCAGCATCCTCCTTCCTGGGCATCTGCCAAAGGGCCTTCCAGTTTGACTCACCTGTTAAGGGTCTCAAGAAATGAAAGAAGGAATATCACAATTCACAATCCAATTCAGAGCAGTCCAGTAGTAGTGGGGTGCATGTGGCACCAGTAACAGGCCTCAGCTACTCTCTGGTGGCTCCAGACTAGTATAGGAACTGATGTCTGGGCTACATTTGCCTCCTCAGAAACACCAGTGAATATCTGTAAGGAATCTCTTGCAAGCTGCAGCCACCCCACAACCACTAGTCAGTCAGCAGAGAGCTCAACCCCAACTCTTTAACAACCTTTTTCCAATCTTAAAGGTTTGGACAGAATTTATTCTGAACTACAGCATGGTTGGCCACTATCAAGTGGACAATGCTGCCAAGAACAAGACATATGGAGGTGTTGGTGTCTCTAACAGTGTTCAGGTGTTCCCAGACACTGGGATCATAACTCAGCAGATACCTGGTCCACATGTGTGGCCACCAGTTCCTGGTTCAGCATGACACCCCTGCTGCCTAGAGCACTATCCCTAGCTCTGGAGCTGGAACATTCAACCTGCGAGATGTACTCTCAGAGAACAGAGAAGTCTTCCTCCTCCTACCAATCCTCCCAAGACTTCCACTTACTCACTGGGAGCAGAGCGATGTACACAGATTCTCCTCTCCCTCCACGCAGCTGAAAAGCAGCACACACTGCAAAGAGTTGTTCTTATTGCTCGACAAGACAGATGCCCACATGAATAGTAAGAGGCCAGCAAATATGGATCACAGGTCTGCTTTGGCAGATTAATTGGCCTATAATTATGACTGATTGAGTGTACAAAAACATACTGCAGTTTAAAGACGACATACTTAATACAATCGATAGGGAGAAAAAGTGCATCTTAAAATGTGGAGCCTTGCTTTTGAAACATAGCATCCTGTCTAGAGTCCTCTGAGAACTTTAAGGCAGAGTTTCCTGTAGCAGACCACAATGCTGAAGACTTGGACAGCTTTCTCAGTGAGGTATCCAAATGAAGCCCTATAACTGAGGCTCTGTGGGTTCTTGAGGGTCCATTTTCAGCTGGACATACACAATGGCTGTTAAGAAAAGGCACTCTAGTGGACAGCCTTAGGCAGTGTGTTATTGGCAGTAGGGAAGTGTAAGTTTAGTACATCACAGCAGATCCTACAGCAGGTTCCTAGAACAGAGAGGGACAGGAAAGAAAGAAACATGAGTGAAGGACTAAACAAACCTGCTGAAGAACACAGCTGGGTCCTTTCCCTTCTCACCTCCCCACGTATGCATGTTCATACCTACGTTAAATGTATATATACATATGTTCAGCTGTGGCAGACTGCGTTGGGACAGTCAGCTTTTTCCCTTATCCTTCTATGGCTGCTGTAGAAGAAATGACTGACAACTGTCCTGGGTGTCTTGAGTGAAGCCTCTTTGTTCAAACCCTGCAGACCCAATGTGTCACCTGTCTGTCCCTTAAATTCCACTTAGATAATCTTTAAACATTTATCAACAATTAGTGAAATTCAAGGTCACTCTCATCTGCCTAATTTACAAAGCACAGCTGGTTCTGTGAGGGTCTGGTTCATAAGTCTGAAATGCAGGGGATGATTAATTTATTTATTCTTTAAAAAATATGGGTAGCAGATTCCTGGAGACCTGGCAGCCAGGCTACATTATCACAGGCTGACTTTCAGGAGCTGCTATTCTTTGGTATATAGTCCAGGACACTGGTCATATTTGTTCAAGAGTTGCCTCAGCAGTCTCTATTATTTTTTCCTCAGACTATCAAAAGAAGATTTCTGAAGATGCTGAAATACAGCTGCCTACACAGATACTGCTATCTCTCTATTTGACTGCTTTTAACAGAGTTTTAAATATTTTTTTTACCATTAAGTCCTTGGCAGTGCTTTTCCTTTCTTTAGTTCTTTGTGTTAGAGATCCTTGAAGCATGAAGTTTCTGTTAAACGTTCTGACAGTAGTAACTGGAGAACCATCTATTTTTTCACCTGGGAAAAATACAAAAGGGGAGATTTTTCACATAAGAGATTGAAGCAGATATAAAAATACTTCTGAAGAGTCACAGCTTATAGACTGATAAAGCTTTCCCTAAGATGTCTGAGGAAAGCTGGATTTAATTTGAATTAAAAACATCAGGTTGTGGTATTCCAAATAAATTAAAGATTGAGGCCATGTCAATCAGTGGAATTACAAAAAAATAGTGCAGTGAACAAAGCCCTAGAATTTTCAGATAGTGCACTGCAGAGTAAAAGAAAAAGACCCAAAACCAAAAATCCACAAAAAATCATGAAAGAAAAAACACACTTGATTTTATAAAGACATTTCTCAGCCATTCTCTGACATAGCAAGAACATTGCTAAACCATTTCATACAGACTGAAATCAGCAAATATAAACTAAGGAAGCGGTGGGTTGTGGAGGGTAGCAGCCATGCTGCAGCAGCAGCATCACCCCCTCATGCAGGGCAAGTATTCAGCATTCCTCATTTGCTTTTTCCAGCCTTCTGCCTCTGGTCCTGTTTGCTTGTCACTGTTACAACTTTCACAGAAGAGAAAGTGGTGATGCTTTTAAATGTGACAAAGGGGTATTTTACATAATGTGAGTACAAGGAAAATGAGGAGGATGGGACAGTCTATTAGGCTTTCTCTGTTCATTTTGTAACTTAAACTTTTCCCCACCTGGCTGACCTGTGTATTATATTGAATCTTACAAAGAGAGTGTCTCTCTCTCTCTCTCTCTCATTTACATAACACTTTAGGGTGTACCTTTTATTGGTGGAGCTGGAAGTTTTCTCCTCTGCTGTCTTGATGTGTCTATTGTATGCATCTGTAAACAACATAAATGCATTACTCAACTCCATTATAGAGAAAGAGGCAAGATTTCCCCAATGTATTTTTGAATACTACATAATGTTCTGGCACCTGGTTTGTTTGCTTTTGATCCCGTTTCCTTGTCAGGCGAACACAGGGAGCCACGTTCAAGCCTGCAACAGTGAGAGCTGATATTCTGCTCTCAATATCTGAAATCTTCAAAGAAAATAAAAGAGAGAGACAGACAGATGGGGAGGGGGGAAAAGAAGTTTTAAAATTACTGTGGATGCCACTACTGAAATATAACCCTCCCCCAGTAAAATCCTCTTTAATAAGAAAATATAAACAGATGGCTAACTTCTTCAGCAATTCTGACACTTTTCCTGCATTCTTTAGTCCTGACATTAAAAGGGACTTAATTTGTTAGTAAAGATGGAGTAAAAGAACAATTCAACCTACCTCGTGACTCCAAGAAGAAGCATTTTACTCCTTTTGAGGAAAAAAAAGAAAGGAGGAGAAAAAACCTGCATCTGCTATCCCAATTACCTTTAGCTGCATAATCCCAATTTTATTCAAGCAGTGTTTTGAAAAGGCTACATTCAAAGAATGACTTTGTGGGCACACATTTCCTAACTCAAAATTAATTTCATACATGTGCAAAGTACATCCTCTGTCACAAAATCTAAACATTTGATCTTAAATATTTATAGTTCAAATGTATATGCATATTAAATACAAGCATGCATAAATGCAGGCACACACTATATAAAAATACTGAATGGAAAACGAATTGCCAGGGGAAAGTAGTCTGATTTTGAGAGTAGTGGAGACAAATGTTGACAAAAGAGAAAGAAGAGTCAGAGAAGTCAGACATATAACCCAACTCCTGATTCATAATGACATCTGAAGCCACAGTTGGCTTCACTCTGCAGAAGATCTTCCATTGAACTCCTTGCATAGCTTAGGCCTCTCTCTTCCTCTGTTTCACCCCCATTAACAGATTTACCCTAAAATAATGACCAAAGCCAACAAAACACCACTGCCAGTTTGCCAAGTAGTACAGCAATGCCCTTCTGACATTAGAGACATGTCAGGCTCTCAGATATTTGCTCAGTCCTGAATTGAGCATGATTCCACTGAGTAAAATCACCAGGTAATTCCCATTAAACCTTGACACAGTCAGGTCAGGGCATCTTGCTGGGTACAGACTGGGAAGTGAGCTGCAAGCACTGTCAGCCCCTTGAGGTCTGGCAGCATTATCTTGTTCAGCTTTTAGCACCAGATCCCTACATGTTCTGAGCCCTGGATTTTCTGGAGCCTGCTAGAGTGGTGCTAGATCACAATGCACAAGAGCTCTTGCCTTTGGCTGAGATGTGTGCTGCTTAGCACCTAAATCCCATGGCAGGCATACAAGCCCAAGGCTCTGTCCTTGCCTCAGCCTCTGGCTGCCTTTGCTGGTAGAAAGCTGCCAACAGTGGCATCTTTTGAAAAGTGCTTGACAAGTTGCTGATTAGATAAACTGCCTCAGACTGTAGTTGTTGTCTGACTGGGGCCATGCACATGACACAGAGCGCACCATGGGAGCTGCCTGGCAGCAAGGAGCAGTCCAGCACTAGTACTGCAGTAAAAGGCTGCTGCAGTGCCACGTCCAAAACCAAGGTGAGGGAAGAAACAAAGGGAGTATGTCTGTCTGGGCTGACTTACACAGCTCAGTTACACTCTGCTCTGCTTGTGTGATGCAGTCAGCATCCTTGGGATCATCAGACTTCAGCAATACAACAGAATATTCAAAGTGTGTTCAGTGAGGTGGGTAAGACAAGGCAGAGTGAAACATGCAGATGGGGAGGAGTTTCTGTCCTCACCTGAAGCTCTGCATGATGAACCTGGGCAGCTGCTGTGGCCACCTGATCCTCCAGATCGGCCAGCTCAGATTCCTCAGTGACACTGTTGATCTTGCGTGCGGCATCTTCCAGGTTGGTCAGCTGCCCCTCCAGTCCATACACCGTGCTGGCTGTCAGGTACACCTGCAGGGCCAAGGTGGGGACAGGGGTCAGTGATTCCTGGTTTGTGGGCATCCAGATTTGAGCAGACTGCATTTTCCATCATACCTGCAAGCTTCCCTGCTTGCTAGCCCACTACAGGGAGATTTACCTGGCAGAGAAAAGTCATGGGGAAATAATCTGAAAAACACATCCACAAAGAGAAGGGATGAATGAGATGGCTGCATTACAGATTTCATAGGTGCTGCAATGGTATTCCAAACCAGATTTGTTCCAGATTGATCAGCAAAGAAAAATGTTGAAAAATTTTCTCTTTTATTATTGATATTCCATTGCATAACACCCTAAGTCCAAAAAGGGAAGAAGTCAACAGATCATGCCTCATATGTAGCTGTGTTTCTTTAAACCCACTTGATGCCTTCTGGCAGTAAAAACTGCATGAATAACTGTTCAGCAGCAAATAGTTATTAACTTCCTATGGAGTAAATGTGCTTATATGTATAACAATTTTCCATCCCATCCTCCTCTCTCCCAAATATACAGCAGGCAAAGCCTTCTCACCTCCTGGGCCTTTGAGTGAATCTGTGGAGGATCAACAGACTTATTTGGGCCACACAAAAGAGAATTACTGATTTTATAATTCAGAGTTCTTCCCTAAAAATTAACAATCCTTACTATTTTGGCCCACCTCTAGTATCTATAACTACAGCTAAAGGTTTCATTTCCCATTCAGTCCCTCAGAACAGTAATTAGTGATACACTGTGTTTTACTGTTTTATTTCACAAACCCCCTAAGATACATGGAGGTCACTGGTTTATAGAAAAGGGTCATTTTCAAGAATTGGCTTCTGACATCTGTGCTTAAAATTGTGCAGAACCACATGAAAATACTGCACTTTCTGCCCATTTACTCCTTAGCCAAGAGACTTGCTTCCATGAGGCTGGTAACAGCACAGCAGAAATTAAATATATAAATATGAAATATTTATATATTTTCATATAGAAATAAAATAGATTCTGATTTTCTCCATTGCAATATTAGTAAAGACCATGTTGTTACAAACCCAGCATGAATTAAACACAGCAGTGGCTAACTTCAGGGTTCAAGGGGCAAGCAAACAAGATCTGAAGCAGATCCTTGAGTCAATACCTTCATTTCATACATCTTCCACTCCAGTCATTATATCTGCCCACAATTCTTGGATCATTCAGTCCTTTGACATAAGAGGTACTGAAATAATTTATAGCAATGCTGTGACTTTATGGATCAAAATGTTGGCAAATGAATTGGCAGATTGAATTTGTTTACTTTTTATTCTTTTTCAAATTGTTTCTTAATTGCTTGAAATAGCTTTCTTTTTTCTTTGTGTCAGTTATAGATAGCAAAGTCACATGCATGAAAAAAACCTAACCCAAAATTACTACATCTGTACAAACTGCATCTTGTAAGAACACTTTCTAACTGTAGGCATTAAATATTTGAAAAACATACCTAAAAGAAATATGTGATCTGATGTAACACCTTTGCTGAAGTACCTGGGGCCACAGGTGGTCCATAAAGTTAATACAATTATTTAAATAGAAATGCTTCTGGTTTTGTGGGGTTTAATTATTCTTACTGTTCATTTAAATGATACATCTTTTAAGTATGACATACCTCAGCCAGTTCAGATTAAAAGATGAATTTTCAGATTTCCCTGTCATATCTAAAAGCTTAGAGAAAGAAGAAATAGAACATTTTGAACAGCAGCATCTTTAGAAAGTTGAAGAAAAGATGCATTTAAGTGCTGTGGCAAAAATCTCTGCACAGTAAGATGTCCTTTTCAAGAGGGGGGCAAAAAATCTAAAGAAAATGTGACTGATAGAAAAATGTGTGAAAGAAAGGTCATCTTGAATTGATCAGGATGATATAATGGGACAGTGCAAATTCCTATGAAATCTTTAAGAGCTCCTAATGAAGGGAAAGAGCACTGAAATGCTATCACTTAAGTGTGGGAAGAAAAGAAAATCGAAAGTTGAAAGTGTACCAACTCCATTAAGTGGATTCACAAAAATTTCCAATGAGTAGGGACTTCCTTTGATTTGGTGTTGTACTTTCCCCTGCAGATGACAGATATTAATGAAAAAGGATGGATGATTTGGACATGGCCAAACGAATCTTTGTTTAATTCAGATTCTCCAGCCTGCTCTTTCTAAAAGTGCAGGAGGCAGCTCTAGCTCTCTGGATGCTCAGCACGATGTGCTAGGGATGTAGGGGGAGGAAGGGCTTCTCCACTTCTCTGTGTGACTGGGAACATGCTTTACCCCACCTGTCCTTGTAGTGATGAGGTTGTGCTGAGACTGGGAGATGTGTGGTTTCAGCCAGGTATGGCATAGCCATACTGCAATAGAGGAGTGGAGGGCATAAGTGAGCTTTTGAGATACAATTTCTCAATGTAGTTCTAAACCCCAAAGCTCAACTTCCCCTCTCCTCAATATTTTAAACTACATATAAAAAAAAAAACCAGGCACAGTTAAGCACTGTTGAAACATATTTTTTTTCCTATTTGTGTATTTGTTTAAAAAAAACCATATTAATTTTTAATATCCACTGATGGTGTCCATGTGCTTTCCCTTTCAAGTTGGTGCACACAAACAGGTGCACTCACACATGTGACTCTTTCAATACTGATTCATCTTCTTACATTTTCTTCCAGTGTGGTGAGCTGCTCGTCGAGTCTGACGGGATCTGTGCCCAGCGGGAGGGTTCCTCTTCCTCTGTCCTGAATGTCATCTGGGAAATCACAGGGACTGGTGGATTCTGCTATCAGTTCTTCAGTGGCATTGATGACTTTCAGGACTTCTGTAGATATGTTGCAGAGAGAGACAGCAGAGTACTTCTATTTTGTTACAAGAACAGACAGAGAAAACAACAGCAATAAATTAGCATAGAGGGGTAAGATACAAATCACCTTCTACTAGCCACAGCTTTAGCCATGCTAAAACCATATCCATGGCTCTCTGCTGCAAACAGACACAAGAACCATGTAATGGAATTGGAATTTGTTTACCTTTTCCTCCTTCTCACATACTCACACTGCTACAGCATGCCAAGTAATATACACATGCAATTCTTCTACAACACAATTCTCCTGGAGGGATGGTCCAAACCTTATTCCAAAGGAGCACACAAATATCCAGTTTTAAACTCTAAGCAAGCTACATAAAGCTGGTTTTGCAAAAGTGTTTTAAACATGTTTTAAAACACAATTTTCCATTTTGGATACTGGCAAAGAGATGTGCAATCATCTATGTCTGTATCCACAGGAGCCATTTCATTGCAGATGCAAACATGGGAAAGCAATCTTCAGCAGCCCTGTAAGGACAGCATTTTACTAAAATGCTTACTATGAATTAAACAATCATCCCAAATAAACAAAGACTGAGATATAAGTGTGGAAACACTTGTATCCTTTTATTTTTTAAAAATTTCAATTAACCTATTTTTTTAATATGGAATAAATTATATCAGATACCAAGGAAAAACACACAGTTTTGTAGATTTTTAAAAAACAACTGAAAACCTTTTTATCAGTGTTCCTTCCTTGTAATTTGTAATTAACTGTCCTGGATTCTTATGATTCTCACATAGCTTTAAGCTTCAGGACAGCTCCTCTGATGAAGGACTAAAATTTCACCTGATGTATCATTAAGCACAAAGCTCAACATCCAAACTATACAGCTTGGAGACTGAGACAAAACTTGTTGAAGCCAATAAAAATACTGTCACTGAATATATGTGCAGTACCTTTAGTGTTGTTTTGCCTAAAAGAAAGTGTGGAAAAATTTAAACCAAAATTTAATTCATTCCTCAAACCTTCACATACTTATGCTTGTGAATTAGGGGCTCACCTGTCTGTTAATCTGCTCACAAACAAAGTATCTGTGGATCACTACTGAGGAAATGGACAGTCTTTGCATTCTATTCAGTAAATTCAATGGTACAGGAGAGTATAACTGATTACAAATGTTTATAGGCAGGATACAGGAGAAATAATGTTCTTTTGATTCCCACAATTTCTGATGAGTTAAACTGGAAACCCACTTTCATTACCTCTTTCCTTTAATCAGCTGTCCATTCTTATGTTAGATAAGACTTTTACTGAAAAGCTACATTTTTAGCAGTACATGCTCAATTGTTGCGTATCAATACATTAAGGCATCTTTAGCACTATTACTCATCTGAATTACAAGAAATAATTAGAATGAGAGATTAAAGAGAAAAGAACAAAGCAAATACCGTATGCTACAGCACTCGATCTTTGGCTTCTTAGGACAGCCAGCACAGCCCCAAACAAGCAGGCCTGGGACTCTTACTGAGAACAAGTACTTGAACCCCATGAATAGCCTGCTGGTTTCTTCCATTTATTTTCACAAGTGCCAATTAGGTTAAAAACAGATCAATAATTTTATAGGAAAGAAAGGAAAAAATCAATGCTACTTTCTTTTATTATTTACTTCCACAAGTACCTAGCTCTTATATTCTGTGAGTAGTGAACAAAAAGGATGAAGGCCAGACACTACATATTCTTCATCATATTTACTGATGTATGTTCTCCATTTCAAGAACTGTAGCCTCACTTTAGTGTTCATTATTTCTTAAATGTATTATCCTTTATAGTTAATGATGAATTTCAAAAGAAGATTAAATTAAATTAGAAAAAGTTATTTTTATATCACAATATTAGAATCCATATTGGCATTCTTCACAGAACAATTACAATAAAATATTTTTTCTGTTTTCCAAGCAAAGTTGTCTGTGATGGGAATCTTTGTGAAATCAAGATTTTGAGTAAAAAATAGCCTAGCATAGAATTGAATAGAATATCTTTTCATTTGGAAGATGATGAATGATCACCTAGTCCAGATACACCTGACTGCTTCAGGGCTGACCAAAAGTTAAAGCATGTCCTTAAAGACATTGTCCAAATGCCTCTTATACACTGACAGGGTTGGGCAATGAGAATCTCTCTAGGAAGCCAATGTTTGAGCAACCTCACAGTGAAGAAATGCTTCCTAATGTCCAGTCTAACCCTCCTTGTAAAAATATGGATACTCAGTTAATGTTTTTCCATATGTTTTATCCTCCTTTTGAGCAACTGTTAAAACAGCTCATGTTCCAAAGTGGTAAGTTTGCAAATATAGTGAGGTACTCTAGACATAATTATTCAACGTGTAATGGGAAAAACCCAAAATAAATTTTAAAAAATAAAATAAAAAAAGAAAGTGTGTTGCAGGGTTTTAGTAGTTCACAAATTCTCCCTTCCCTGACCACCCATGTCAAACTCAGGATTTACAAGAACATATAAAAATCACCTCAAATTCACAGACACACACACACACAAGATCATCCTGGTAGGTGGATTTCAAATTGCTCCAAACACCTTTTGGTTGTCTAATTTATCTTGCCCTTGTAGAAAAGGTCATTGTTTACACCTCTAAGTGACTCACAGAAACAGCTGTCATGCCATGATGCAGGCTCTGTCTTGTCAAGCAAGTCAGAGAACTAATATGCATGTGGTAGATGCAGAAAGCAATCTCTGGTAGAAATATCCAGCACAGGGAAGCTAAGTGCAACCATTCTTCTCAAAACTCTGGGATGCATTTGGATTTCAGCTGTGCTACCCTACTTCTGAATTAATATCACCACTCCCAAACCAAATCCATCCAGAAGACCAAGTATGAACGTTTCTACTAGTTGTGAGAATTATTTTTTTTAACTGAATCTGAGACTAAGCATCTAATGGAATGAGGAAGACATGCATTTATCCTTTTTATGATAATTAACATCCATTGTCACCAACATGTTAAGGACACAGCCAGAAGAACATTCTCAGTTTCTCTGAGTTTGTTCTTTGTGGTTGAGTCTTAAAACCAATGAATGGTAAAAATGTGTATGTATGCAAGCATACATACATGTTTGCACTGAATATAATAAATATCTTGTAAAACTTCTTTACTGTCATTTCTGTTTGTCAGATGGAAAGTGTTCCTGTTTTGAGAAGATTATGTTTCAGTGGTCTAAAGATAAAGTGGTCTTGATGACTGTTAGCCACTTCCCTTTCCTTCTGCTGTCTCTCCTTTCCCTGTTGATGCTGACAATATTTCCTGTGCTGTTTAACTTAAGCATGCTACACTGGAAGGTGATTTATAGACCATTATTTGCATTCTTGCACAAGTAACAGAAGGAAAACAGGATGATAAAACTGAAGCAATATTAAGTACCCAAACTGCTAAGAGCAGGTGAGCTTCAAGTGTTTGTATGCATTTCAGCAGCCTGTGACATTTTCACATCCTTTCCATGAACATTATGGCTTTTATTTTTGATTCTCTTGAAATAGTTAAGTTCTCTATCACTAGCAGCATTTATTTCTGCCCATTGTACTCAGCCATTAGCGTTTTCCTTTTTTCTGCCACTAAAATGTCATCATTAGGCTCTTTTAAAGAGCATGGGAGGGGGTGACATGCAATTCAACAGAGAACAGTGACATCAACAGCTAGAGCAAGAACACCTTTCCATCACTAGCAGTCCTGGCAGTATTGACCACATCCCTGATGACTTGTGGTACAATCATTTTTAGCTCCAGTGTCAAGGCGTTATATCATGCACTGAGTCACAGTCAATATCCCTCTTTTTATGTAAGGAGCTATGGGGAGCTGGGGAGAAGGTAAGTTTTGCTTTGCCACTGATTAATGTATCCTTTTAGAGTAGCCTGACACTGAATCCAAGCTGGGTGAACACAAAAGCAAACCCCAAACCTGTCTTGCTCATCTCCCCAGCCTATGGGAATTCATTTTAGAGTTTTGAGAAGGCCCCGAAAAAGCCCAATGAAAGTCCTTCACACGGAAGCAAAATCTGTGACACAAGTCACAGTGTGGGAAGAAAAGAGACATCAATGCCCAGCTATCTGTGGCAGCTGTCAATCCTGACCTTCAAAAGATCTTTGGCCCAAAGTGAGTCCTAACCACCCATTACCATGAAAACTGTGAGGAAAAAAAAAAGGCTAAATTTTGCCTGGCTGTTTTATGGCAGACAAGTATACCATGATAAACTGTGATATCAAGGAATTACTCTTCTGTTCAAGTTTAAGACTTCCTGCCTTGACCTTTAACATCAACATCTTCATTTATGGGCATTCCTTTAGAAAAAGAAAGTAAAATTACCTAATTACCTTACAGGCTGAGAGCTATTATACTTATATTCTCCAAAGTATAAAACAGAGAAATTAAGTCTGTCTTTCTGACTGTGCTCGGTAATTCTGAATATTACATTTTACTAATTCAATCCACTGTCCTAATATAGTTACAGATGTTACACCTATCAACTTTTAATGCCTTATTTCTAGAGACAATCGTGAGAAAGGAAGTGATTTTCCAAGAGGTGAAATATTATAGGCTAAGCTGGAAATTAAAATATTTACATCAATATTTACATAAAATCCACACAAGAATATAATCTACAATGGACACAGACTGATGACATTACACAAATGGAAAAACACTTTTTCTTTAATGTCACCATTGCTATTTTTACTAAATAAAATCAAGATAATTAAAAGATGATTAAAAATCATAAGTCAAAAATTAAGAGCAAGGAAAAAAAGAAAAAAATGTGAGAAGTGTCTTCCTAAATTAAGCATCAACTTCTAACACCAAAAAAAGGAATTCTTATTTTATGACTGAGAGAAATAAGTATGACATACTAGTAATGGCAGGTAGTTTAAAACAGAAGATAAGTATATATTTGCTCAGGGAATATAACAAAAATATTTTTTAATATGTGATCCTCATAAGCTGAGGTTCAAATAGCACAGAATATGAAACCTCTTTCCACCTAAAAGAATGATAAGCAACAGCCACTAGCAGCAAAGTGGGAAAATATCTACTTACTGTACAAACTCTACAATGAATTAAGGGTTTTGATTATTTTTTTTTAATTGAGAGCTTAGAAAGATTTTTGAAGGCCACTATGGTCAGAAAACTGCCTTCCAAATTTCTTAATATAGGTGAGTACATGAGAATAGAAAGTTCATACACCTTATCTTTGTCTTCTGTTCTTTACTGATAAAACCAAATTTTCATCACAAGGCCAAACAAGGGTGCCAGTCTGCTTCACATATTAACTGTGATTATAAAATAATTTTTTGCAGTGATTATTGGCTGTGGCCAAAAGGTATGATTTTTCAGGCCTGATATTTCCAGGAAAACATTCTGAGTTTGAGAATGTTGATTGGGAAATGCGGAAACCCTCAATATCATGTTATGGCATCTCTTACTACATAAGAGATGTAAAAAGACACAAACAAAACAAAGCTTTCTCACCTGCTGCAATACAGTGGATAAAAACTGCAGCTTTAAATGAAGATCAAAAGCCTTTTGTTTTTCCTAGATAGTGGGAAAGCAGTTAAATGAAAAGGCAGAAAAGTTATATTAACAGCTACAGAGGTTAACAACTATGTAGGTTCAGACTTACAGGGAAGTTTGGGATAAACAGCAAGGATAAAAAAACTACTAAGATTAAAATAGCATAAAATTTAGATTTTACATATATGACTAAAATATTTAAAATAAAGCAATGCCTAATTTAATTTTATTTGTGAGATTTAGACTAACAGACTTCATTGGAACAGAAATTGCAAATTACACACAATTGTTTATAAAATGAAACAGAGGGAAAATACTATTTCTACCATCACAAAAAGTGTCACTAGGACTGGAAAAATACTTTTGCAGCAGTGTTAAGATGAAGAAGAAAAGCCAGCTATCTTCCCTTTTGGAGTGTACACGGCAGCAATTTGGACAGCAGTCACTGAAGAATCTGTACCCCACTTATGCCACAGTCAGATGCCCATCTGGGAAACACCTTGGCTAAGTTATGTCTTGTGCCAAATCACTTCATACTGTTTGCTGCTCTCCCTCTCCTGCCCTCACTGTCACAAAACAGACAAGTAAAACCCTCCACATTACAAGTCTCCAGTGATCAGCAAGGAGGTTTACAGTAATCTCCCTCATTTCCTTAGGTCTTTTTAAACGGAACTGACTGGTTTTGCCTTGAAATAATGACACAACCACAGTTGCCCTGATGGCTGTGCTGTGACACAAGTATTTTCCAGCTGAAGAGCAGCATTTCCTTGAAACTCTTCCAGCTATATCTGAAAGAGCTCAGTTTTCACTGCCAAGTCTCAGGGTAGCTTACAAAAGAAGACAAAATAGTAGTAAAAAATAGTCTATTTTCCCACCATTTTGTTCCAGCAGCTTACACTAATGTTCACTGATTTTTTGCAACTGTATCTGTAGAATGGCTTGGACATTTTCTCCCTAAGTAAATAAATCTTTGGCAAGGAGAGAACTGAAGGAGATTCCCCTTGCAGGCACACTGGACAGAGCTGGCTTGGGAGTGCATGCACGCAAGTGTCAAAACTGAGACTGTGAGAAAAAAGCTGTTTACAAATTCCCCATGTGAAGGCAGCAGAAGTGTCACCTCTTCTGCCCTTCACCAGTAGATCCAACAGGGCTTTGATTCAGTTGCTTAAACACAGGTAGACAAAGTGTGATTTGAAACAGCTTGAAGTATGTGAGGATTTTGAAACAACGCTGTCAGATATGACACTGACCAGGGAGATTCACATTTCTTCTGGACTAGCAGCTTAAGGTGCTGTGGGACACTCTAAGATATCTCAGATGGTCTATCTACATCCATAATTATGCAACTGCATTGAGCCCAGAAAGCATCAGAATTGGAGGTACACAAACATCACTGCTTGCTTTTGAAAACTTTGAAAAATAAATGTTCGTGGTTTTAATGCTAGAAGTGGAAGACTCATATTTTGACAAAATAAACTTAGAATCAGCTTGGTATTTCAAGCTAAAGACTGATTAATAGCAAATACATGGGATAAATACCTTGAATGGTAATTCTGTCCAGCAAACCACTTAAACCTCAGTTTAAAACTGAACATATACTCGACTGCTTTGTTAAATTCAGAACTTAAAACTTTGGATCCATTAGCCCAATGTGAAGATTCTTGTCTCATACCTCTTTTCACCTTCCCTAACCAAAATAATTTTTTTCTCTGCTGTCATTCAAAATCCTGTGCATAGGTTATCTGCTGTTCATAAACCTTACAGATCACTTTTTACAATGCTGCCTACATTCAGTTTTCAATCGTGGACTTTGGGAGACTGCCCAGATAATTAACATAACCTTAACCTTAAAACTAATGATCCATGAAAAGACAAGAATTAGCCTGAGCATCTTGCACACAGAAATGTGAAACAACAGACACTCAAATACCTTCCAAGCTGTCAACCCAGGAAGATATCATGGTACTACACTGTTCACCATTACTACCAAAATAGCAGCAATGTAGTAAAGCTAATGTGCTTACCCTGCTGTGTTTCCTGGCCAAAAGTGATCCATGTGATTCTCCTTTAGAAATTTTTACTCAGAGACTTCTAAAGCTTTTAGGCATATAAAGCCGGATGGCAGTTTCCTATAAACTCCTGCCTGAACCAACACATCAGTCAAAATACCCAGGAATTCAGGCAGTTGCAGGATAATGTTCACATAAACATCTTCTGTGAGGGCAGGGCCTGCACAAATGCCTAAAGAAGCCCAGCCACCAGGAGACACAGGCTGGCTCACCCTCGGTGTAACAGCACTGCTGTTTCAGCATCCCAGACATCCCTGCCACGATGCTTCAACAGGTCTGTGGAACACAGGAGGGGTTCACTGGCATGTGCATGTCCAGTGCTGCTCTCCAGCTCTATCCAGGCTGTGAGTAGATGTCTCTCCAGCAACCAAGTCCAGTGAGCCCCACACTTGCCTGACCTCCCTTACTGAGCCCTGGCCACCCCCTGCAAGGCCAGCCCTGAGCACAGCCACCAGCATACACACGAGGGAGCTGGCCCTTTCTTCTGCAGTAATGTGCACCCACATGCACAGCTACTGGCTATTCTTGCTAAACAGAGTGAGCCCAGGCAGATTTTCTGAAAAGTGTCAATCTCACTATATCAGTAGTCAAATAGTGTTAATTTACCTAGTGAAAAAAATTAAGATGTACTCTCCTGAAACAAAGGAAATAGGTCTCTGGCAAAAACCAACATGAAAATGTTAATCATAGTTCATACTTTCCCCAAATAAAGCTTTTTAAAACCTAGGAAGAATAAAATGTTTCCAGATAATGGAAGTATTAATATTTAATGAAAAGATTATTTATGCTGTTATTCATACTGTCAAGAGACTCAGGAGTTTTCCCTTTGGAAACGGGATCCCGCTGTGCTACCTAGCAAACTCACTTAGAGGCTGTCACTCAGAAAAGAGCTACTGTGTCATGTAGTAGTGTCAACAGACAACGCTAGAATTTGAACAGTTACTAAGCCTTGGTTATAAGGTTCTCTGAGCAGAAGTAAAAGCACAAAGGGAATTAAGGAAATTCCTTAAGCACACAGCACATTGCATCAAGCTAATGGAAAGAGGAGAGAAACTCCCCGTTACATGGAAGTTTAACTCGCTAATATGTGTATCTTGAGCAAGTTGTAGTACTAAGTAGAAGGAGAAAAAATACCAAGAGTAAGGTGTTAACAACTATTTCAGTTTTTATGCTATGTGGGCAATTAAAAAAAAAATGGCAGAGGCTAACCTGTTTTTTAACATAATCTCTATAGTTTCTGATAAAGTGGTCACAGACATAGACTGCATTTAAAATGTAGACTGACAAAATCACCTTCTAGAATGTAATTCTGGCATATACCATGAAATAAAGATCCAGTCAATTTATCTTCATGAAAGCATTAAAAGAGAAGGAGAATGGATGGAGGAGAGTACAGACTAAATACATTTCATTTATCATGCTTGCCACTCTCAGGATCAGTACCATTAAGATATTTCAATGAGAATTTACATTTTGCTTTTCTCATGCTTGCCACTCTCAGGATCAGTACCATTAAGATATTTCAATGAGAATTTACATTTTGCTTTTCTCTTTAGGCATTCATTTAAGGTTTAGTGGAGTAAAGCAAAAAATAACCAACCAATAAAAAAAAAACCCACAACAAAAAAAAAAACAAGAGTAAGACAGAAATAATTGTGCAAATTATTGTGCTAGTACACAATGCTTCACTAAGACAGCAGTTGCACAATTTGAGTTTTGGTTTGTTCATGCCTGAAGTTTAGTGGGGATGAAGGAAAACTCTACCCTAAGCATGGCTTTTGGTGAAAACCATGGCCTTTCACAGCACAACTAAGACAAATGGACTTTTCAGGGCTCTGCATACACCAGAAAGACCATGAGATACTTCTGTAGCTTAATAAGCACAAACTATTTCCCATAAAAACAAGTCTGCTTCAGGATTATGTTTGTTTTAAAATGAGAGCTGTGAATCTCCACAAGGCCATTTTAGGCAATCACAAACTGAAGGATAATGAAAATGAGGGTGCTGAAAATCTAAGAAGATTTAAGTCTAAGTCCCAAAATTAACTTCTGTTAATTAATACCAACCGAAATCCTCAGGTATCCCAGATGAACTAAATCATTAACTCAAAGGTCATCACATTCAAATTTGCATCTTAAAGGCAGACATATTGGATCTTTATTTATCAATAACTGGATGGGGCTGCAGGTAGGCACTCCTTGAGCTTTTTATTTAGCATCAGTCTCATCAGTCCAAGGTGAGAGATGAAAGATGTTGAAAGCTCATGCTATTACAACAACTTCCAAATTCTCTTGGTTAAAGTGCCTTTTTAAAAACTTTCTAGCTAATAGCATAATGTTAAAAGATTATGAGTGTTTGCTTAAGCCAGTCATTAAAACTACATGTACACTTTGCTTCTAAAAATGCTTGCTTGTTATAATTTAAAAACAACGTATAAAGCTTCATTATTAAACTTATATTTTTCTATTATCTTGTTTATTATATTTTCTAAGGCCTATCTCTACGCAGTCTTATTGTTTCCTGTCTTTGCATATCTGCATTCTTGCATTCTTCTGTTCTCAGATCTGCTTTCACACAGCTTCTGAGAGTCTTTTACCTTTTCTATTTCCCACAATGACATACAACTCAAAAGATCAATTTGAAGTGAGAACTAAGAATCCATAAATGCCAAACAACTTGAGCTAAACTCTCCATTAAACTAACTCTCCATTAAAGATAATTTTTACCACTGCTTCAGATCATAATATGCTGAATACTCTTTTAAAAGCATCAGCTCAATGTGTGATTCCATGAGATTCCCAGTTTCCATTAAAACAGAAGTCCAGGGTTTTAAAGGTGCTGACAAGTGAAGGTCAGATAAGCACCAGGTACTTAATTTCCAGTGATTCAAAAACAGTATGTGTTTTTAAGTCTTATCCTATTGTCAGGAATACGAGAACTAAAAAATCCCAGCCATTTAAAGTTGCTGAAGTGTTCCAGAATAAATTTATGAGAACATGAGATTAAAGGCTAACAAAGACAAGCAGCATGGCTAAAATATAAGTAAGATGGCTGAAGTACAGTATTTATGTTCAAGAACAGAAAGCCAGAATCTAGGTACTCGAGGTCTCATTTTAATGGTGCAGAACTAATGCTTCTGTATATTTAATTTGAAACCTGATGCACAGGTCAGAAGGCTGTCTCTGACCTATAATGTCGAGTGCTAGCCTGAAAGATCTGTAAATCCCTACAAGTGTGTTCTCCAACAATCAGGCTTTTTCAAGAGACTCTGGAACTTCTGGCTTTGAAGGCATCTAAAATTACTGGTTGCCTAAAAATAGGTTTCCTATGCTTGTCTTTCACATGGCTTCTACTCATCCTAATGTTATTGCATCTTTTATGAGTTGAGGTATGTCTGTATTTTAGACTGCCACCACAGCCCCACCTGGTATTATACATTGTCATCATCAGTATTTCTTTGTAAGACATTGGCCAGCCAACTTTCCAGAGAGAAGGCACGTGTCAGAAGATTTTAAAGTATCTTTAAGGACAACTGTCAAGAATAAGAATGAAAGCAGTGTGCTTGTTTCTCTACACGTGGAAAAGGTTCCCCTGCTGAATTCCAGACCATGAAGAGTACTGGAGTATTCTGGTTTCTTTATTATAGACAAAAAGAGTATATACTATGACCATTAATGATGAGAACGTTTTTAACCAAATCAAATAAAGGATTAGGAACTCCAAGCATTCTTTTTTTTGCTGAACATGGTAAGCCCTTCCTTATTAAAACTTAAGAAAATTTTATTGAGGAAAACTATATTAATCTTTGCTTCATTTTAAATAACTGACATACAAATTTTACAGCCTTTAATTCTGGATTTAATTTGCATCATGTTATAACCCCAGCTAGCCCATATATGCTGTTGTGATATTGTTGTTTTGTCTTTGCAAACCAAATAAAAACAAATTAAATGCTGCTAACAAGCTCTGACAATAAAACCTTTATGCAATTTCTTTGGAAAGGTTGTGTGTACGTTAAAGAGGCATTTGCACACATGATAACAAAGGTATTTACACTCCTGTGTACTCCATGGCTAAATAACTCAGAATCAGAGAGTCAAACACTCCTTACATTTGGAATGTAAAGGGATCACCTAATACAACTCTTCTGCTCAAAGAACATGCCCAGGGCCATGCCCAGCCAGATTTTGATTATATCCAAGGTCACGGACTCTACAATCTTTCTGGGAAACCTATTCCAGTATTTAAATACCATCACAGTGAAAAAGTTTTTTATTTGGATGGGATTTTCTTATATTCCAGTTTGTGCCCACTGCTTCCATTCCTGTCAGTGGAAAGAGTTCCATTTCCACTTCATTTCCCACAACAAACACTCCTCACTCTTCCCTATCAGGTATTTAAACACATTGAAGAGATTCTCCCAAGCCTTCTCTTCTTTTTTTGGATAGACAACGTCAGCTCTCTCAGCCCCTCCTCATATGTCAGATGCTCCAGTTTTTTAATCATCTCTGTGGCCCTTCACAGGACTCATTTCAGTGTGTCCATGTGTACCTTGTGCCTTTTGAAACCCAAAACAGAACACAGCACTCCAGAAATGGCCTCACCAATACTGAAGAGAGGTGCATAATCTAATCACTTGCCAGGTGCAGGACTTGCATTTTCCTTTGCATTTGATTGCTGAAAGTCTTGTTAAAGCCAAAATAAACAATATTCATAGCTCCGAATGTCTCAGATTGCCATGATATTTTGAAGATGAACTCACAATGACATGGGCCAGTTCCCTCAGGTCTTGGAAGTTCAGACACCATGTACATGTGCACATCCCAATTTTTGAAATATTTGCTAACCTGATCCTCCTCTACCAAGGATAAGTCTTCACTGCTCCAGGCTTTCCCATAGGTCTCAGGGGCCTGGGATTCTTGAGGGAAAATCTTACCTGTAAACTGAGGTGAAAACAATGTTGTGCAGCAGCCTTTTCCACACTCTGTGTCACCAGATCACTGCAGTAGTGAGCCCAACTTTCCCTCATCTGCCTTTTGCTGCTGCTGGACCTATAGAAGACTTTTTTTTCCCTTTGTGTCTCTTGGCAGATTCAGCTCCAGATGGGCACTGGCTTATGTGATAGCATTCCTGCACACTTCGACTGCATCTCTATTGTCTGCCTGGATGACTCGATCCAGTATTGAGTACACCTCCCAGTGTATTAGCTCTTCATATAATTTGAACAAAACACCTTTCAAATTATGACAAATAGATTTCCTTTAGAGAATTGTCCACATCCCTTGTCAAAGCTCAGCTGCTGTGCACACGATGCCCCAAAAGGAAGTCAAGATATGCAGCAGACTAGAATAAGCCTAAGTAGATCTAAGGAATAAGAGTGCTTGACTGGTAAGGGGCAGCACTGGGCTCCTATAGCACCAAATTCAAGCATACCAAAAGATCTGAAAAGAAATTCAGAGGTAGAAACAGAAGAGAGGAGGTGGTAAATCCTGTGAGTGACACTGAAATCTGGTATCTCACTGTAAGGGTGAAATGGTACAAATGGAGGATTCTCAGGCATTATCAGAACTGACACTGAATTTCAGTTTCATTAGGAAATGTTACTGTTCTCAGAATCCTATTAGCTGACAGGGTAACAGGGTTGGAAATCTTTAAAGAAACACTAATTATTTTGGTAGAGACACAAAAGAAGAATCTATGCCATCAATATGAACAAGATGATACTACGAAGAGAGGAGCAACTAAAAGGATGGAAAAAAAGCACTTAAACTGTCTGGTTAGCAAGGATAAAAAAATTACATAATTCCATTAATATTACCCAGTTAACAGTTTTGTTGCTCAAGCTAAGTTCCCTGTTTGGAACTGATGCTGTAGGTTGTCTGTTCCTCACAGAGGAAAACACAACTGAACTTTTATCTGCAGAAGCAGTTCAGGCTCAGACTGGTATAAAGGACCTCAGGTTTTTTTAAGCAACTGTGTTCAGTTTTCTAGCCAGAATTTTCTCTTTTTGCATTCTAACTCTTTCAGTACTATTCCCACTCCTTTACAACTACCACTTACCTTCTTTAACTCTTCTTGAATACTTCTGCCATTTTCCTCTGAGGACAAACTCTCCTTCTGGTTTTCCACATCTATTCCAGGTTCTGATTCTTGTTCTTCACCAGATGATGTTTCCTTGTCACTCATTTTAGCAGCAAGCTGAAATAACCTGGATTTAAGCTCATCCTCCATAAGTTCAGGCTTGACATCATGGTGCTGATCTTCATTGCTTATATCAGTTTCTGATAAATCATCAAAATCCTACAAAGACATTAGAGAAAAATATATAATTCCTGTGTAGGCACAGAAAGAAAAAACAAACAGCTTTCTAGAAAACTATAGGTATGATCACTCTGCAGGGAAGCTAGAAAGAAAACACACGAAGTGTTCTGATAAAAAAGGAATGCCAGTAAACCAACACTTGCTGGATTATATTCATCATTCCTGCTTACTTTCATGTTACCTAAAAAGGAACTATCTAAATCATTGTGTTTATGTGTGCAACTAATAAAACATACCTGTATTTCCCATTCCCAGCACTGCCATCCCTTGCAGGCACAGTGCAGATAAAAATGCAGTGTGGGAATGAAATAACCTGTAACCTGGCAGTCGTGTTCAGCTTTCAGTTGAAACTGTCCTCACATTCCCTGACTGCTTGGTCTTGAGCATTATCCATGTTCTTCTTAAAGACTGCTGGAAAGAAGTTTTGAAAAACTTCTCTTTTGTTACATGATGTTGCTTAAGACTGTCAGCTTTCCCAGTGATTATTTGCATAGGTAGGTCCTCTGCAGAGATGATTTTTTTCCAAATGACAACCTCCTTGGAACAAGTTCAGTCTTCAGGAGCCCCTCTATTCTGACTCTTGGATCCTTAAAGCTGGGAAACACTTAAAGGGTCAGTTAAATACAGTGGGTGCTATAGACTCGGCCACAAGTCCCTTCGGAAGCTGAAGAGAAGCAAAATCAGGGTGCCTGTCCAGAATTTAGTAAGGTGGAAAAGGGGTCAGTTTTGTCAGCCCTGCTGACAAAATTTGAGAATATCTCATAGTTGTTCTAAAAACTAATCCCTAGGTATCAATTTATTTTCTGGATCTGTTCTGTCTGATTAGAACCTAATTTGCCCTGATTTCCACTACATTCCCTGGAGAGACAGGCACCTCCCAATGGAACCTTCTCCACCTATAGTATTTGCTGCCCTCTGGAAATGTTCTCTCTCTGCTGACTGCTGAGAGAAAGTTTTGAATCATTAGCTTGTTTGGTGCTTCAGCCAAGCCCATGAAATAAGATAGTATTAGGTGGGTTTAAAAGTGACAGATATTTTGAAATGAAGCATAATTGTGCAAAACCACCCAGAAGGAGGCTATGAAGAATTCAGCCTGGAACCAGAGTGGTAGGCACATCTCAGCAGGTCTAGAAGGATGATTTGGAGCAATTCTCAGAGATGAAATTATTCCTATCTGCCTTAGGATCTCATACTGTGACAAGACCAGACACTGCTGGAGAGACTAAAATCTGTGTTCTCTCTTCCATTCATTTGGAAATGTATAAACAGGAGCAGCTGCAGCAGCACTGCTCAGGGGTGAACCAATTGCCTCCAGTTCTCACAGGAAATGTTAACTCTGCCCACTCCCTCACAAACCCTACCCACCAAACTGCTTTTAATGGATTGACACATGGTATTCATAATGTCAGTTCTCATCTTTCATACAGTAAACTGTACTGGAGTGCTCAGCACTTTCACAGTGTTCTGGACAATTTCTGTCTGCAGTTATTTGCAATTCAATCAATTACACAACTAAATTATTGCTTCATAGCAATATTCATCCTTCAGGATGCAGAAGACCCTTTTATTGAGAGCTACAATAGAAGGGCAACCATGGATTTATGCTGAAATTCTTTTCCCAAACAATCAGCTTTTGCAGAATAAAGAGCTTTTTCTGCTAAAAAGCTGTTCAATGATCAAAAACAGTATTTCAAACCAGCATGTTTTTGCTTCAGTTTTATAATATGACATGCTTTTATATACATGCAAAAGACTGGTGTATTTCACCTTTTAAATTAAAAATGTCTATCATAATGGTCTTTCCTCAAACTACAAGAGAAGTTTTCTTGAGATATTTCTTGCACATCACTCCACAACTCATTATAAATATCAGTGTTACACCCCAACCAACAATTTGTCAATGGCCAGTACTCACAAATCACTAAACTACTATTAAAAAATCCCTGAAACCTGTTGCTGAATCAATCAGTCCATCAATTTGTACCCAGGAAAGAAACAACCATAACTTACGTGATATACAGGATAGAAAGCACAGCTAAACTGTGCACTTGTATTTTATGAGAATACAGTTTAGTGAAGATATAGCTCATTAAACCTGAGCTATTTACAGCTAGGTATCTAGTCTAAGCTAATTACTGGAACCCCTCTTTACTTGTATTACCTCCATTTATTTAATTGGTACCTCCAAAAACCTGCTCTCATCTACCTAAACACTTTGTTTAGGATTACAGCTCTGCCCTAGGGATGTGGGCTTACTCTAGCAGTGCTGATGAAGATTGAGCACAGTTTACCTTGAGGTTAAGTCTGCAAGGAAAGAAGAAAATCCCATTCTATGCAGACATTTGAGCAGATCACGCTTGTTAAGATAATAATTTGGCAATTTTTGTTTAATGAGCTTACAGATACATATATAAAATCTAGTGGGAGCGAAGAGGGAGACTGGCAGTCCAGAGTGGTGGATTTTCCCACACTTCCTCCTCACAGCTGTACTGACAGACTTCACTGTGCAGCAGGACATGTGTGAGTCCTCTGGGGGCTTCTTAAATAGATCTGCTCAACTTTAGATGCTTAGCAGCTTCATTGGAGCAGCAATGCACTTATACACCCATGGAAAGCACCACTGGTTAATCTAAAGAATCTGTATTAACAACAGCAATATGACAACTTCTCTTGATCCTGAGAAAATACCAGTCTTCGTAGGATCACACATGGCAGCAACTTAAAGATCTTTTTGTTAAGTCTGCCAGCACAGATGAAATTCATGAGATGCCTTGGAAACCCCAGGGTCTCATTCAGCATTAGCTAAATCTGTGTTTTGAATACACATTATTTCTTGGGGGAGGACTCATCTTGAGAGTATTGACTGTATTATAACTGGGCTCAGGTATGTCTATTGCTCCTTTTTTAGCTTTCTAACCTCCTTTAAATGAGCAGATTATCCATATTGGCTAGAGCTGTTAATTCCTGTGCACATGCAGAGATAATGGTACCTTACACTGCTGCACTTTGTGGTCTCTGTTAATAGCAGGCTGCTTGACTTGTGTGTTGGGCTTTTCAGAGAGTGGCAGCAAATTATTTGTGAGGAGATTATACCTCTTTCATGGACTGACAAGTTAAAAAATGCATTAGCAGCCATGAAAACAATAAAATAAATAAACTGAAAAGTACTATTATTATTTAGTAGATGCTGCATTAAATTTTGTTATTCTTTACTGTTCATGTTTTTACTCTTTCTGGTAAGTTTAATGACATTTTTGTGTCATACAAATCAATGTGTAAATTCCCATTTTCATCTATCAGCAGTATATAATGCTAAGAACTGCAAACAAGAATAAAAGGCTACCATTTTATCTGAAAACTGAGCTTCTGTGAGAGCTTGACAGACTGACACAGTCACAAACCCAGTTTCACTAAAAGAAAATCAAGTGTTTCTATGCAAACATAAGTCTTTTAGGAGACAATGAAAACAAGAAATATACTTCTACTCATAAGCAGTGTCCAAATCCTTGCACATAAATTGCTGATAACACAATCAGAGTGGACAAAAACCAAATACAAAAAAGGATGTTCCACAACAAAATCCTTGTTAAACTATAAATCCCTGAGAGAAAGTTCCCTTCGTATAGAAAACAAAAAATTGGAAACTAAAATTTTTAGGAGAATACACAAATTGTGAGGTTTGCAGGCAGTTTCTCAACAAGAGCCAGAGTGATTTCAGGGAACTGTTTTCAAAGAATACATCCCAAGCGCCATCCCGTGGGAACAGGCAGTCTGACAGTGCTCACCCCTTACCTGGCTGCAGGGCAGGAGGGCTGTAATTAACACATGAGGTCTCCTGATCAAAGGAACAAACTCTTAATGAGGGCACTTCTTTCACTGGAAGCAATTAAGCCCCTCCACTTTGCATCAGAAGCGTAAGAACTTCAGCTACATTAAGCAGCAATCATATCCTTCTCTCAAAAAAATAATGAGAGCCAATATATCAATATTATCATTACTAAAAGTATCAACTATTATTAGAATTATTAATATTAAGAGCAGATAACAATTGGTGGCTTGAGTGTCCATTTTTTGTAAAAAGTTACCATTTTAAAAATTGTCATAAAAAGCAAAGTTGCATTTTCCAGTTCAGTTGCCACAGAAATACATGACTTTTGTGGTACATAGGCAATCAGATATTTTTTATAGCAGGACTTTGGTTTTATCAGGACAGTTTTCATATCTTGCTTCATGACTGTTTATGGCATCTCTACAGACAGATTAGTAAAGGAGCTTGTTCTTTTACTTATCATTAAGCAAAAAATTCCACATATACAGCACATCTTGGTTTCTGTTCTCAGGTTTCCCCTTCTAAGTCACTGAAGACTGAGTTATGAACTGACTGCAGTTTTTCCAGAATATAACTGCCTACAGCTCTCTAGACTCAGAGCAAAGAAGAAAAAGGGCTTGTTTCCATCTCACTGAGAAACATGGACAGTAGAAAACAAAGCAACCTTCACTGTTTGAAAATTAAAAATGAAACCCTAACTTTTAGACTGATAAACTGAGATCCTATTCTACAATGCTGATGAAAACATAATGGTTAACAAATTATCATTTTATTATTACAATGCAGTAAAATAAGATTATATTCCAATGCAGTAAAGTATTGAAGTTTCTTCACTGCAGTTGACATAACAGTTATATAGCGTCTAATATCTTGGTTCAACAAAAGTTTAGAAGAGTTTGTATGATCTCTGCAAACTTTGCATAATCTCATCATGTGAAAAGCTATGCCTGGTTTAAGACCTGCAGTCAATCTTTCTTAAGTCTATGCTGTCTGCAGTTCTTCACACACCTATACTATAATTTTGTAGAACTGTTTATATGCAGGGCTCTCCCTGCTGCAGCCTCAATCATTTTACCAAGATCAATACATTATTCTGGGGAATATATGAACCTGTGACATCCCTTTAATCTCATTTTCCTGAGCAATGTAAATGATGTCTGGCTAATTAATTTTCAAGCATTAAATCAGGTTCCTTACACACATGACAATTTTACTTGCTTCCTAGAATTGTTCAACCATGCAGCATCCTTGCTCTAAACTGTGGTAGTCACTCCATTCCTGGTGCCAGCAGTGCATGTTTGCCAGAGGCTGGAGTAAAAGTTCTACAAATGTGAGAACCAGCTTTCAAATCAGCCACCCCTGTGTGTGTGTATGTCCAAACACAAAGTAAACACAGGCAAACCCAACCATACAGAAACTTCCTAGAGAGAATTTAACTGCTTTTTAAACAGTGGCATGATCTGGAGAGTGTGCCTCTGCTTGCCCCACTGAGGCTGAGGGAGCAGGGGAGCAAGAACAGTCTCTTTTAGTTTCAAGGGTAAAATGAAGGGGAGAGTGGGTTAGAATCCTGCATCTCGCACTTTCAGCACAACAGAGAGGTTACACAAGATAAAGCAACTCACAAAAGACTTGGAAAGAAGAATAATTTCCCATACCAGCTTGCACTTTGAAGCGCACACTGAGTTGCTAAAGGATGCCATCATGGATGTTTGTGAAGCACCCTGCCTTTCTGACCTCACCTGGATGAGCATGGGGGTTGTTTAGATTAGATATTACCAAAAATTTCTTCACAGAAAGGATTATCCAGCACTGGAACAGGCTTCCCAGGGAATAGTTGATTCACCATACCTGGAGGTATTTAAAAGATGTGTAGTCTTGGCACTTAGGGACAATGTTTAGTGGTCAACCCTTCAGAGCAGGGTTAACTGCTGGCCTTGATTAAAAGTGTTTCCAATCTAAATGATTCTATACTATCTTCAGGACATTTTCTGTGAACTCTGATCTTCCATGCTCTGCATAATGTCTATTGTGACTAGGAAGACACAGTATGAATACAGACACATAGAGATCATGCACATATACACAAAGCCAGAAAGCTAAATGCAAAAGTCTGTGTATAGGATATGGTCTTTGTGCAGTCCCTGTAAAGCCCTGTAAATCTTCCTGATGTACTAAGAAGTCAATAATGGCCACGGATGTGTCATCAGATCACATTATAATACATCATACTCCCCTTCAACAACTGTTGATTTTAAATATATGAGGACACGAGTATAAATGAATCAGTACAGAACACCCCAAACACCCACACTCTATCCCAAAAGCAGATGGAATGGGTAAGAATTAATGACATCCAGCATTAAAGGCCTGCTGAAATCCTAGAATTCTAATACTGACTTACAATCAGCTGTACTGATGTTTTTCTACAGGAAATACAGGCTAGTTTCACAAGGAAAGAGGAACTGTTCCAGGCTAAATTTGGTCAGATAGCTTTAAAACTGAATCAGGCTGCCCATAATCAGAGGCACAAGGAGAAGACACCCCTCTGATCTGTGCTTCAGGCTTACTAGAACTCTGCTGCAGCAATGATGCAGCTTCAGGATTTAAGAGGGGTAGGATGTGGGAAATGGAACTGGACAAGGGGTCAATATTCTCCTGATCTTGTGTGCTTGCACTGCTAACAAAATTCTGAGGGACAAATGGATCCCTCAATATCAGTCCCAGGTCTGGACAAACTCCAAATAGAGGAGACTTCCTGGCTTCTGGTTATCTATTATCTGTAATTTAAAAGAAATGTTTGCTGTCTTCAAGCTGTGTGAACAGCTTGAGAACTGTATGAACTGTTTGAGGTATTACAGTCTGGGTTTTTTGCTTGCTTGTTTGGGTTTTGTTTGTTTTCTTAATGAATTGACAAATGATTTAAATGGAAGCAGTTTGCAAACACTCACCCTAACACATCAGAACTCACCTTAAGGTGATCAATTAAAAACAGACATCACTTGGACTGGATTTTGCAAAAAGACCTTTTTAAATTTCTGCTGCTCATTAGCTTTAACCCTTACCAGAATATTTGTAGACACTGAAGAGCAGATTGTCAGGCAAATGAGTTATTTCTTATACCAAGAAAACAGAAGTAAAAAAAAAAAAAAAAAAAACAGCACAACAAAACAAGTTATTAATTAACATTTCTTAGCTGTTAACAAATCCTGAGGGTTTTTTTCTTAAGAGCACAGTATTTTATAACATTAACAATGTCTTTGATTGGATGAAAGTGGCCTATCTGAGAAAAAAGTAAAGCCTGTCTAACACCCTACTTTTTCTTCTTATTTAGGAGACATGATGAAGATAAAGCTTGCAAGAACACTCCACCTCCCACTCATGATTCACATGATATTGCCAGCATAGCTTAGTTTTGCCTAGTTCTTCTTGAGAATACATTCGGTAAGCTCAAACACAATTACCTGACTTAAATTCATCTTGCTGGCTTTTGTCTGATTCTTTTCTTCACACAAGTCTTCAGAGATGGCTTTGTTCTTCTTCCACCTTCTTGATCTCTTTTCTAAATCATAATGGACTTCTTCAGTCTCACTGCTGTCTGAATACTCCAAGCTAGTTGCCTGTGGGTTGAAATTTACATCTAGTTCTCCATGGAAGTGCTTCTTTTCCATTCTGGGCATATCACTTTGAGTTCTGCTTTGCAACCAGAGAAGTTTGCTAGGTCCTTTAGCTTCCTGGGAAGAGTTTACTGAAGATGTTTCCGAATCGGAGAACAGGGTCTCGGTGTTGGTGTATAACCCAGAGGAGGGGGAGGTCACTGCCTGGTACTGATCGTTGCCGTAAGCCCACTCGGTGCCATACTGGGAATTGGAGTAATAGAAGTCGTCTGGCAATTGTCGAGGTCTCCGCCGCAGCTTGTTCAAGGCCACGTTCCAGTCATAGTCATCCTCGCTGTCCGAGCCCATCTCGTCATAGGCAGACACAATGCTGGACTCGTTCTCCAAAGCTCTGAACACCTGGCTCTTTGGTTTGGCGAGCATCCGAGGACGAGGCAGAGCGACATTCTGCAAAGCCACCCAGTTTCCATCGGTGCTTTGGAAAACAGGAGGCGGACCTATGAAAAGGAAACAAGAACAACCGTGATCACACTGTGGATGGCTGCTTTTACTTGCCACAGATTGAAAGTTTCAACAAAACTAACAAACAAATGCAAGTGCTGCTGCCACATGAACTCCCCCATGCTGACAGCCAAGCTGCCCTCCTGCTGAGAAGCCACCACTTTAAGTCATGGTGATGACTAAAATGGGAGAGTACTTGCACCAAAGTTTCTTTCTAAAAGAATGATTACGGAGGACTGATGGAACATAAGCACAGAGACATGTATAAGTCCTGAGTTTTACAAATGTCTTTGATGCTGTGTGCAGTTCTGGTACCACACGCTGAAAAGCAAAGAAGGAAAAAGAATCAGAGAAGAGCAGCAAAGGTTGCACCAGGTTCTGAAATGGTGTCCATTCAAGGAATGATTAAGTAAGCCAGAGCTCTGCCATCTGGAGGACAGAAGACCGAGAAAATACATGATAAAAGAGATGGGGGAATCTCTTCCAACCTAACTACTAGAGGGCATGAAGTGAAGCTAGAGAAATCAAGATTCTAAACAAACAAAAGAAAGAAGTGGGATGCAATGGATACCAGACCTAGGGAGCTTCTTGCCTAAGGTTGTTCCGGATGCTTGAAATTATCTGTGATAAAGCTGAGATTCTCCTCATGAATACTGAGGAGAAATCCACTAAAATTTACTAAGTACAGAAAAAACACTTCTAGCTGAGATAGTCATTAAATTGAAAGTTCAAGAGGTTTAGAGCCTACTTGGAGGCAGTATGAAAAATACTTGCTTTGTCCTAATCTCTCCTAGACTCTTGCTCATGGCTGCTGTTGCTGTACCCCAGACCAAATACCAAATGAGCTTTCTGACACAAGCACTGCTGCTTGTGTCCTTCTACTTTTTCAGAGTATGTTTCACAACTCCAACATAAAAACCAAAAAAGTCACAAAAATGGTCAGAAAGTGCTCTTTAACTCTCATAACTCTGAGAACTGCATTTCTTCTAAATTTAGATTTAATTTCCAAACAAAACTGAAAATTCTCCTCATGGGAAATATGGATGTGTGATGACTGCCTTCTGCAGCACTTGAAAAATATATAATGCCATGGATTTACACAGTAATCCAGCCTACTGAATGAACTTTTTAGACTTAAGGATTCTTCCCATGGATTTTAATTTGTTATTTTCAGAAACCTATAGAAATACTTAATATAAACCATTTGTTTTCTCAAAATGTAAGCAGAACATCACTATTTTTAAATGCAAACAGCAATATCTTGGTCTGTTGTAGAATATAATTAGATATTATATTCTTTATATTCTAATATTTTCATATTAGGATGAAAAGATTACTTTTTCCCTGGAACTGTTCATAAAGAACATTAGTATGCAGTAAGCTATGCTTAGTTAAAAAAAAAAAAAGTCTGATGTGCACTACCAACACCAAAACACCCCTCCCCCCAAAAAACCAAAAATTAAATGGTAATTAAACTTAGGAGCTATAAGAGTTTTATGACAATTTTTGCATTCTTTACTCATTTGAATCCTTTTGGCTTGTTTTGGCTTCCTAAGTTGCAAGTCACTTCAGAGAACCTGAGAAAATACAGTTCTTACTCCTGCTTAAAAGAAAATCAAAATAATACTAGTTCTCTTGTATCCGTGACCAACCAAGGATATAACTGAAGTGTGCAAGGAGAACTAATAATTCTTTATTGTAATCCTAGATTTTGGAGAACAAAAACCAAACTAACTATCAAGCATAAGAAACTTCTGCTTGCTTACTTTTCCCAAGTATACTAACTAATCTAAGTATAGGGTTCTCCTGAGAGCTCAAAACATCATTCCTTCAAACAATGCCAACAGCTCTGCAGGATATAAATCTCCAACAGGAATTGAATTCAGCTGCGTAATGGGGAGCCACAAACTTCTTTTCTCCCCCAGACCATATCCCCTTATTCTAATTAACAACACCACGTGAGAATTGGTTATTCAACCTCAGTTAACTGAAGAAAGGACAGGATAGTAGTTGATTACATCTTAGAGGACAGAGTAGAAAGCCAATGAGAACTCTATATTCAGAAAGTTCACCCAGTTTTATCCCAGTTTTATCCTACAATGTCAAGTGTTCCCTTCCTGATTTTTCAAAATGAAGTCACTTTTTCACACAATTCTTGGGGCTTAAGCTGTAACATCCATATGAAAAGGAAAAAAATATTTAAGAAGTTTCATTGTAAGACTATTGATAAAGGGGGAAGAAAAGGATAGTATCCTAATTTGGCTCTTGAGCCACCATTTAAACCAATATGAACTGTAACCACAATGAATTGTGAACTACTTTTAGGCTACGTGCCTAAAAAGTCCATTGATGTTACCATATCAAACTCTTGGTTGAGATTTCTCTTGTTTTCTGTATCATAATGCAAAGCTGCTTATTACTGCATAGGTGAGACCATATTTACAGATATTAGCACAATCAGCTTTTTACTATTATCTCAATAGGCACCAGAATTTCATCACAAATGTGGTTTTTAGATAAAAGAAGCAGAATAAATCCTCTCTGTAGAGCAGCTGAAAAGAAACTGGGTCAATTTGTCAGTCTGCTATGGCTAAGCAATTGTTAAATACTAAATTGCTCAACAGTTGAATGCAATGGGATTCAAGTAGGTTCTTAAATTTAAGCACCAAATTAACTGCTTTACTGAAAATAGGCCTTCCACTAAAATGCCCAGGAGAAAAACAGTCCTGACAGTGGGTTAATTAAGAAATTCACAGAGTAATGCAGACTTGGTTAAGTCAGATTTTAGTAGTACTTCAATATTAATTTCTCTCACAGGGGAGGAGTAGTATTGAAATTGTCTAAATTTCAGTCTCCCCAGTTATCAACTGGTGTTACAGATAAATAAATTGAACAGATGGGCAGCCCCAGTCCCTGATCCCTACCAAACCTAAACACACTGCTTGCCCAAACCCAAAACTGCTTCTGCTTGCCAGCACTTAGTGAGGCAGCTGTGGGAGTTACAGCACCAGCAAACTCACCCTACAAAAGAGAAGTTTTCTGCTTGTACAGCTTCATGAACCAATATGCTACAGGAGTCAGATGGGTTCTACAGCTGCTACAAGAGAAGATGTAAGAACGGATTCTGCCATGGGATGGCAACACTTGGAGCCAGGGAATGCTGCTGCAATGAGTTACTCTTGCCCTTGTGCAGCTGTAGGGGTAAAAACTAACCAACTTTATGGTAAGGGAGTTGCCTGGTGCTACACTCTTGTGGCCTCACAAATGCTTCAGCCAGAACAAGAGAGGCAATGGCAATGGGATACCCCAGGAGCAAGAGCCACAACTGCAGAAGAACAGAAAGGGTTAGGTTGGAAGGGACCACAGTGGGTCAGCTGGTCCAACCAACCTGCACATGGCTCACCTGCATAGTGAAGAAGTTCTTTCTCATATCCAGGTGCAGCTTCCTGTGCATCAGTTTCTGCCTCTTGTCTCCTGTCATATTGTTTGGCACCACTGAGCAGAGCCTAGCTCCATCCTCTGACACCCTCCGTTTAGATATTTATTTACATTGATATCTTCTTCCATTACAACCTGTCTTAATGTCATCTTGAAGTAAGCAGGGAATTCTATCCCAGGGTGTTGATTCAGGAATGGAGCTGACTTGGAAAGCTGCTCACCATCCATCATCCATATTTACATCCATACCCAATGCATGCTGATAGAGGTCAGATCTGGGGAAACTGCTGGTGTGTGAAGTTCCTACTCACACAGCCTCCTCAAACTAGTCTGGATGCACCAGTGAGTAGGGCTGCACAGAGAATTTGTCAGTTCATCAGGGCTGAAAATAAAGTTGTTAGGAGTCCTTCAACTGGAGGACAGATTGCCTCCTTGAGCTCTTGTGTCTTAGAAGCTCTGAAATGTATCCAAACTACTTGTCTAAATTTTGTAACAGTACAAAATTTACTTCACAAATATACAAATTTTGAATAATTTTTTTTAAAAGAAAGTTAAGATAAGCAATGACATAGCCCAATGAAACTGTGACATGGAAACATCAAATATACATTTTACATGTGACCTCTGAAAGCACAGAGGTCAGCAGAAACGCCCTTGAGAAAGTCTTTGCTTTAAGTTGTACTTTTTCCACATGTCAAAAGAACCAAAAAAAGAACCAAAAACCAAAGAACCAAAAAAGAATCTTATTCGTACTAGAAATATTTACTTGTTTCATTTAGCCTGTCTACACTCTTCCAGCTGGGTAAAGCAGAGCGTTTGCGTTCCTTCTGCTTCCTGGACTGTCCCTTTTGCTGCCTCCGAAGAGCCTCAGTCACAGATGATGCAGGGTCTTGTCCTTTACTGGCCAAATCTTCACTAGCCAGGGAGAATGCAGACTGAGACCTCTGTGGGATTAAAAATCAAAGAGTGCAATTTAAAAATAGAAGTAGTTAATTATCCAACTCTTTACTATAATTAATATTCACTTACCCATAGAAGCGTGGGATCTGCTAACATCACAAATGGGATTTAATGTATTCAAAAGAATTCAGCATTAGATTGCTTATTTATGTGCATTTCTGATGTTATGCAAAGAGGCAGGAAGTTGTTGATACAATCATGGACCAGATGGAGAGAAATAATTAAGGTGAAGTTGTTAGGAATGTACTTGGTGAGTTCTGATATCAAACTGCTTTGACTCAAGTTAGCCAGAAAGGGATCCCATAGTGGTGAGATATGATGATCTATTGTTGGCTCAACAGGCCATCTGGTGTAACAATTTGCAGAAGTTAAAAATTAAAAAAAAAGCAAACAAACAGCCTGTTCCCCAGAAACAGATATGAAACTCAACCGATTTTAATGCAGAATTCTGTTTGCTAGGACATACATACATAACACCCAATATGCTGAGCAGTTTTATGCCGTCTTACTAATGAACTCAACTTAGCCTACAATTGCACATCTATTTAGTTCTCGGAGGGTTACATTTCAAGGCATAATAAGGTAAAATACTGTTGTGATTGTTAATCAGCCTGACTGCTGCTGAGGAGAAAGGACTTCCCTTTGGTTCCACATTAATAGATCAGACATAATAGTTTTCACCTAGGCACAGAGAAGTCAGTCAGTTACAGAAGACACTTTTAAATTTGGCCCATTTTAAAAAGCTTTGAGTGCTGATCTTGTCCAGCTGATTTCAGTGGAACTCACACTCGAATATCAAATCACATATGTAGTTCTAGAAACAAGGCTTTCTGAGCTCGAGTCAAGTTGCCTTCCCAGCAGAGTCAGTAGAAGACTGGATATGCCAGGTTTTCAAATGGCTCAGCTGCTTTGCACAGGCCAAGTTAGCACTCTCAAATCTTTGTACATTTGTAGTGATGTTCAAATTACAAATATTTAACAAAAGCTATTACTCTCAAAAGGTCCAGTCTTTGCCTGTATCAGAGGTCTGCTTTGCACTGGTGCAGGTGAGGTAAAGGAGAACCTGACTTTCAGTTATTTTCGAGTCCATTCAATTCCCAGGGCAGCATAAGCATTGCTGGGAGTCCTGCTGGCTCGAAAGCCACGCTTATACCATTTTCTGGCTGCATCTCCTCCCATCTGAAATGCTCCTCTGTGGGACCCATGTACCATGCCAGAAGATTTAATTAACTGCAAATCTTCCTGTATCCTTGGCTCAGCAGTCAAAGGAAACACAATTATGCACCAGGGTTTAGTTTGGCTTCTGAATTCATAAAGAAAAGCCAGAGTTATTGCACTAGAATAAAATATTTTCTATAATGACAATGACTGCACAACTTTGGTAATCTTGTCCATACAAAGACACAGGTGATGCACTGGAGTGTTTCCTTTAATATTTAGTGATATAAACTATTCACAACATGCTCAAAGTAATTTTATTATAGGGAATCTTTCAGGTGCATCACTTTTACAAGTTAGCTATGTTCAAGTGTGTATTTAGTCTGCTCCAAACCTTGAACTAGGTCTTTCATTGGTCAAGATTATCTGAATCCTTCTTACCCCTGAGAAAGTAATAAAATAAAATAATTTAATGCAATGCATACAGATATATAAATTGTTTCATTATAGGAAATTTGTTCATGGACTTTGATTTCATCCTGTCAGGATATGTGGACAGTATAAACAATTCTTCAACAAATTTGCCACCTGAACTGTGCCAAGTTTTAACTGTGCTGTGGCTCATTTCACTTCATTGTAAAGCTGGAACTACCAAACTTGCCATGCTTTCAATAAATTAGGTCTGGTGTCTGCTGCATCTTTTGAAATCTTAAAGTTGTCATATACTGGAAGCAGCCAGTTGTTGTGGCTGTCCGTGAACATTCTCTCAGGGCACGTTCTTTTTCCATGTACATATAGCAAACATGAGAGATCAGAGACAAGAAGACAAGACCCAGAAGAAGGAGTAGCCTACAGTTCAATCAGTACTATCTATTTTCCTTTATTACTCAAAGAACTGGATCTTTGAGAAGCAGAATACCAGGAAGAACTTAAGTAATCTGCAAAAGGGTATCTGGGACTCCAATAATGAGAGCTACCTGCATGTTTGACAGCTTTCTTGTTTTGTTTAAATGGCAGCTTCTTGTGTGCCTACTCATTGTTTCATAAACCTCAGAGTGAAGTGATGCCATCGCAGTGATGGCAGCATCTGCTCTTTGCTCTCAACTCACCTAAGACCTGCCAGCAGCTTAACCCTGACAACACAAAACTTGGCATGGGCTGTGAAACCTCCTGAAGGAGCTGAGCACTTCTGCCCCCAGGCTGACACTTGGCAGCAAAGCTGTGGCCAGCAGTGCCCGGGGAATTTCAAGCCAGCTTAGGTGCATCCACACTATAGAGCAGATAAAGCTTTCAGAAGGACTAGGAGAGACATACCAGCTTGAAGAATTTAAAAAGGAGAAGATGAACAGCCTGAAGGATGAAAGGAGATGAAAAACAAGGCAACACAGAAAAGAAGGTGGACACGGTCCCATGTGGTGTAGTAGCCTAGGATCTGACATAAGCTCAACCAAACAAACTTATCTAGCAAAAAGCTGATTTTTAAAAATGCTGTGTTGCTGTTGGGCATGAAATAAGAAGTGTGGATTTAATACAGCAGCAGAGGAAGATCATTAAAAGGGATTTTACTTTCACTTTTTGGTTCTTTTTTATAAGGTGTTCCAATACAGGTTTAACATGATTGGTAAAGGGAACAAGACCTCCCTAGTCCCATTGGTGGAACAAGAGAAAACACACTTAACACAGCTGTACAGTGTTTTGAGAACCATAAACTATTTACAAAAATAGTACTTGAGAGAAAAACTTTCTCAAGAGACCTTCCCTTGGGAAGAGGAATTTTCACTGACAGGCTGAAAACTCTTTCAGACTCAGAAAATCAGGTCCACAATTGTGTGCTATAACTTTTGGGTCAGATCAGAGGGAATCTCTCTCCACAGTTTTTGCAAGGTCTCTGTGGAGCAGGAAATTGGTACTAAGCAGGAACTACTGCAAAGAAATTTCCCAGGAAATCCAGTTGAAATACAGCAAGGGGTAAAGCTTTTGGTGCCTCCAAAGCTTGGCTTTAGGCCGTCCTCATTACTTTTCTACACTTTATGTGAATTTTTGATAAAATCTGTCTTGAACTGCTCTGAAGAAGTACCAGCTCATCTCACTGAGGATGGTTCAATGTCACAGTAGGCTCAAGGAGAGAAAAGTAATGGCATGATAAAACAACTTGGCTGCAGCCCTACATTTAGATCCTGAAAAAAGGAAGACACTATTGAACTTCCACTCTTCACTACTTCATTTGCAGTTCTGTGTAGTTCTTGTATCTGGAGAGATTGAAATGCTCAACAAGTACCAGTGTTCTAATAAGCTCCAATTCAGAAGAATACATAACTGTACAGGATTAAGTTATTTCTTGTTCTGGAAGGAAAAGGATGGAGAGAGAGATAGTAGAATTGTGTTTTACTCAGACAAGCAGGGGTGGAAAGAAAGCATAAACATTCATCCCTGAACAGTTAAAATCACTGGTAGCACTGATAATGACACAAAACAGGAGTGTCAATAGCCAAGCTTGGTGTAGGAACAGGACAGAAGCACATCCTGGCAGGAGAACAAACCAGTCTAAATTGACTCTGTTTTTCAGAGCACAAAAGCAAATGTTTGCCTACAAGTTAATCTCTAATCAATTAGCAGCCCGACACATGACTCTATCTGAAATGCAAATGACCTCAAGACCTCCTTTTGTTGTTTTTTTGCAAGTAAAGAGCAAACTAGAAAGTTAGTTATTTGGTGTGAGACAACACAGCAAAAGCCCTAATCCTGGCTGGCACATTTCCATCAACCTAAACTCAGCCAGCACCACTAACTCCACAGCCCTACAGCTGCAGCATGGGCCACATCCCACTTCCCTGTGAGCTGATTTCACTGCTTGCACACACTTGTGCAGGCAGCAGAAGCACACATTACTGTGCTGCATCAGTGCCTCTCCTTCACAGAGGTAACAGCCCATCTGTAGATCCACAGGGGATATCTTTCCCTTGGGGACATCTTTCCCTTGGGGACATTTGTATGGGAAGCAAAACACTGAAAATAAAGGAGCAGGCTTGAGAAGCCTGCTGGGGGTTGATGCTTCATATGGTTTCCCTGTGAAATGTGCATCCCCTGGATGCACGGAAGTATTGGAGGTAAGGCAGGCTACCCTGATAGGCTCTTGGGTCAGTTTGCTTTGGAACAAGGGATTTTTACTGACTAGATGAAGGAACCATGTCTCTCAAGCTTTATCAACTGCTTACATGCCTGGACTGCAATAAGATCTCAGAGCAGAAGAATCAAAAGTATATATATATAAAAAAGAAATACAGGAGCCTAGAAACAATTTTCAAAAGAAGGCAGGAATGTAGGAACTTTGGTTTTGATTTATAAAGACATCAGATGACAAGAAAGGAGCTAAAGATACTTGGCATATTTCCTACCCAGAAATTCTGCTTCCTCAGCAAACAAAAACCCCAGCCCATCCACCAAGTGCTATTTTAGGTGTATTTATGTGTTCTAAATGCCCTGTAGATCTGCAGTCGGACACTGCTGGTTTCGGCAGTAAATTGGAGCATCAGCAGATGGCACTGCAGCCCCGCTGATGGTTGCTGTGCTCTGCACACACCCCACAGAGGCAGGTGCTGCATGCTGGAGCGCTGGGCAGCGCAGCACAGCTCACAAAATACAGCTGGGGCATTGACAGGCATTTCCAGATACTTGAGTTAGATGAGTTCCCCACCTAATCCTGCCTAGTGGCACCTCCTGTGACGTGTTTGTTTCAATTATAGATTTCTATTGTGTAGTTTATAATGTCTGGATTGAGAACCTTCATTTTTCACTGAATTAGAACTAAAAGGAATCATCTAATTAA